TTGGAGCATCTGCCACTTATTCCTGCAAATGCTCAAATTGATTTCGTGATTGAAGTCATCAATTTAGAAGAGGAAGTCCGTCTTGAGAATCGACGAGAAGTTCATTGATATGTGGATGGTTTTATTCACAATGATGTCTCTACAACTTATGGATGAATTGTCTTTAAGAAGGGGGAATGATAAAATCCTCGCTACCAAGACATTTTAGTTCGAAGACTAAGAAGATGAGCGCTGACTAGAGATTAAGATTTTTATAAAGATTCGAGGGCAAATCTTCTTCAAGAGAGGGAATAATGCAATATCGACTTGCAGGATATTTACTTCCCGTAGTCCAAAAATGAAGATTCGAATTGAAAGATATAAGGATCAATTGGAAGCGTTCTTGATGGATAAAATAGAGCTCATAGTTTCTGCCAACATGTGACAAATTAATGTTCGTGGCTAGTAAATGAACATGAAGACCTATGGATGAGGAAAAAGCATGGCGACGTGAATGATGGTGAGTTCACATAGTTAATTGTGCAAGGAACATGTGGGTCGTCATGATTTATTAATGGAACAAAAGGTCACTCTAAACACAGAAGGAAAACAAGTATCTAGAGCTGCTAAGGAAATGAAGGAATTAATTCATAAAAGGGAGGTGGGTTGGAAGCTAATTATTCACTCCGCAATCGCTACAGAAACAAACTCATTATCCGCCAACAAGAAGGACACACGTGCTGAAGTAGTGTTACTTTGGAGTTTGATATTTAATTATTTATTTGGTCATTTACGAGTTTAATTAGTGATTTTAGTCCTTATTAAATTATTCTTATGTTTCTTACTTATTTTGGGACTTGTTTTCATATTCTTAGTAGGTTTTAGTGACCTCTATAAATAGATGGTGTAAGACCTACGGGTTTAACAACAAGTAAACCGAATTTTGATTAATCAATTAAGTGATTTATTCACAAGTTCCTTTGTGACTGTTTGCCCAAATTTCTGTCGAGGATACTCTGGAGTTTGTGTGTCTCTTATCAAATAGATAATCATCTCTAGTTGTGACAAGTTCTATCTTATGGGGATTTGCCCTTCTCACAAGTTGAGATAGCTTGATCGTTTTCCATCTTATCTTTATTTTTTTTTATTGAAGTTCGTGAGAGATATCTTGAAGATCAAGTTGGCTACATACTTTGGTAACCTTTGAATCCAGGGGTTTGAGTCTCGATTCATAAGTAACTTAACATACCTCCTCGTGCTCCATGACTTCCTCTTCTTCCCCATATTTTTCATCGTGTCCACGTGGACGCCCATATTGTCCTCATTGGTAGCCAAATTAGAGTTCCAATCGCCAAAAGGAATTTGATTCCCTATGCCCTCCAAGTTCACGAATTGGTATGATTATCTCCCCCAACTCCGATCAACAACCCCACTTCATCGAGTTTGAGGAATTTCATCCATTCTTCTTCTCCTGCCTCTATATGACTGTATCCAGGATAGTAAGGTCGATGACCTATGAAAACTCGATGTTGATGATTTCTATACATCATCATTGTCATCATGGATGGGATTCCATGGCTTTGAATAACTTCCTGCCATATCGTTCTAATTTAATGATCAACAAAATGAATAAGTTATCACATAAATAACGTGTTGCATTTAACCAACAGAAACATGGAGGACTAATGTTGAGTACACATTGTTTAGTTTGCATGCAACAATGAATGGCCCATTACAATGCATGGTTGAAGAACATACGTTGCCAACAAAACTAAATTTTGGCATTGATTAATAAAATTGAAGAGTAACTACATTTGCATGCACACACTTACTATTACTTCCATTACCAGCCCAAAATTAATGGATATATGATATCATTAATGATAAATTCTGAACAATTATACAATTAGCAAATAGAACAGACATATCACATCATGCATGCATGGAAACATGGATTTAGGGGAGGCGTACTCGGAAGCGTGTGGATAAGGATGAAGGCTCATAGAAAAAAGCTCACTTACCACATTAGATGAACCCTACTTTACAACCTTAGCTAGGAGGATTCTACTCTAGGCAACTATCTTATCTCTAGCGTCCTCCCAACCACTTGGTTGGTTGTTTATTTAGTTAAAACCCCTCACCAAACTTCCATCCCGATTGGATACTAGTTTGGAGCGAAGTAATAATACACTTAGGGATCCCTCAGAATACTACCGAGCCACTTTACTACAACTCTAGCTAGGTTATACTTGGCTCAGTTAGGATTGAATAGAGAGTGTGGTTCGAGTTTATAAATTTAAAGCTCGATCGCGCACCCGAGGAGCTATCAAGTTTTTGTCGCCGTTGCCGAGGAAATCTTAATTTATTAGGAAAAGCCGAGATCTACTATTCAATCATTTGTTGTGTGCCAAGTTTGGTGTGGTGTTTTTGTGTTTTTTGTTTCCGTAGCATCGAACTTTTAGTGCCTTTTTCTTGTATTTTGTGCTTGTGATGTCGTATTTTCTCTCTCGTATATTTCTTTCTTTTGTTATGTTCCCTTTAGTTATCTTGTGTTAAGTGTTTGCTCATTTTTGTTTTGTTTTCTTTTTACACTTTCGATTTCATATGTTGTTTTTGTTTTTGTGAATATAGATAGTGTTTAGGTGTAGCTATGGATCCATATTGGTGGAACAAGGAGTGGAGAGATCACCAACGGCCGAATTGGTTTCATCTTGAAACTTCAAGTAGTGGTTACTAGCCAAGGATCCGAGTGTGAAGAACCAACCCCTTTCTATGGTTATCAAGAAGACTTCCTCGATTATCAAGCTTCATCATCATATCACGAAGACTTTCTTCCACAACCGGAGCCCAAAAGTCTATTTGAGTTTTTGGTGGAACAATACATCCAAAACACCAAAGTTAGCTCCAATGTGGAATCTTCAACAACCACCCCCATTGACTCATCCCTTCTAAGGGCATCGGAAGAGACCCTAAGAAAAACGGAGAGACGGGGATAGGTTGTTGAGCAAGTATGTGCACAACTTGCTCACAATCGATCCTTACCCGCCAAAGAGGAAGAAAAGGTCGAAGAGGAGAAGGTGGAGACCGTAGGGATATCCAACCCTTAGTTCCAAAAATTCCTCAATGAACAACGAGAGTTGAACCAAAGGTGGGAAGCCACTTAGAAAAAGCTTCAAGAAATCCGTTCAAAACTCAAAAAAGTGTGCCTCTTGGACGATGAAGAAGATGAGGAAAGCGAGGAAGAGGAAGAAGTCTCCATGGTGGATGAGCAAGAGGACATCGAAGAACAATCAATTGAAGAACGTGCTCGGAGACACATCATAGCTCCCGAACAACAAGAAGCGGATCTACAAGAGAGCCTTGATGTGATGGAAGAAGAGCTTAAAGAAGAAAACGAACTTGATCTTCAGTGTGGTGATAAAGTGAATGAACAAGAAGGAGAGGAGGCTGAAGATGCAATCGGAGTCCAACCAATGGACAAGGTCAAAGTGGATGAAGCTTCCACAAGTTACCCAGGTTTCCACCCTACCTTGATACACTTTTAGAGAAGGATCCTTTTGCGGATTCTCTTTGCCAAGACGAGGCCACGATATCATCAATCCCTCTTGATGGATCCGGTGATGACCCTTCAAAGATGCTTGATTTAGTTCGAGGCAAAGAGAAACAAAGAAGTTTTGAAGAGATGTTTCATTGGAGGTGTCTCAAGCATTCTTATCTACATGAACCTTCACCGAATGATCGGGAACCCGATCAAGACTTAAGACTCCACTTAACCGATGAAAACCTCAAATTTAAGGAGGTCTTGAGCTGGACTGAATACTTGAATACCACGGTCCGGTCAAACGATCTAAAAGAGACGCTAGTTGGGAGGCAACCCAACATTGGTTTGCATGCTCTCTTCCTTAACTCTTAGTTTTGTTTTCATTTTTGCTTGTGTATGGTGAGTTTAGAGGTACTTGGAATATCCTAGGAGTCATGCTTAACCCCAAAATTGATCACAAATGATGCATGATAGGATAGGAATCAATTTTTTAGTTAAGGGAGGATATAGAGTCAAGTGTGGTGAAAATGTGCAGGTCACGACATGGTCCCGACCAGTGACGAAGTCGTGACCTATTATAATGAATTTTGCGCCGAGAGCCATCACGGCCTGGTCACGGCCCGTGATCTAGCCGTGACCGTCGATCTGGGATGTCATAAATTCTAATTTACAGAACTCTTTCTCCCTCTTTTCTTCAAAACAACTCCAAAACTACCTCTCCTATCACCACCACCGAACACAAGTCCTCCACATTTCCTTCCACACTCAACCAAATACGAATCCGAGACCACCACCACGTTCATCTTGTAGAGGCTCTCCTTGTGCACCAACTCATCATCTCAATCACCGACCGGAGCTTACTCGCCGGATTTCGCGAGTCTGAAGAATTTTTCGGCAAGCTTTGTCGGAAAACTCAACTTTTGAGGCCTTTTCTTCCTTCCCCAACCATATCCTTGTTGTGCTTAGTATTTTACCCAAGTTTCAAAGTTTGATTTTCACCCTAGCAATGTCAATTTCAGAATCTTAGAACCCTAGGTTTGAGAATTGGGTATTTGGGAAATTATAGGTATTGGTTGAAATTGATTGAGGGGAATGATTTAAATTGGTGATTGATTGATGTTGGAGTATATCTTAGATGAATGCTAGGAAGTTTGAGGCTTGTTAGGTCGATTTTCACCTTATTGGCCATTTGGAGATAATTCGCCTACCATTTGTTCGATTAAATGCCCCAATGAGTAGGATGTTTGCTTGATGGTCAGTTTTGATGCGTTCTAACTCCTGGGATGATATCTTTAGCTTCCTTGAATTCCCTATCTTGATTATGATTGGATTTATACATGTTTATTATGGGATGCTTATTTTGAAAAAAATTGGTTTGGCATGCTTTGATACGATATTGGTGATCACTTTGGATTGATGATTTGTCGCAACCTAGATGGTTTGAGCTTTCAAATATGATATTTGTATACCGTAGGTTTGTTTTGAATCATTGTTTTTCTTATCTGATCATAGTATCACCTCATTCTAAGGTCGCCAAAACCCTATGAAGAATGTTTTTCTGGATTTTGTTGAATTGGTTGTTTACATATAGTGGACTTTTTGTTTGAAGAACAAGCGTGGGGGAATTGTTCCCATTGTAGGTTCCTAACAAGCTAGTGGACTCGTGTACCACTTGTGTTGTCTTTTCTATGTCTTCACAGGAACATGCCTCCTCAAAATCTTCAAAACCACCCCGCACTTGTGGATCTTAATGTATTGAGGAACATGACCGAGATGGTGAGAAAGATGTTAGGAAAAGATCTTGGAGATCACCGACACTTGGCTCGGAGGGGAATCCGATCCACTAGATATGAGGAGGAAGTCCGAGAGCTCATGAGCATCGGTGAGTGGGTGACTTTGCTTTCCATGAGGGAGACATTTATAAGGAGCTAACGGTGGAGTTCTTTGTGACTTTCAAGTGCCTTCATGGGACCAACCATGATTTCAACTTCGATGAGGAGGGCACGGTCTCTTTCAGACTTGGAGGTGTCCAGAGGAGTATGAGTGTCACATCCTTCAGTGTGGCACTCGGCATTTACATCGAGGAGTACACTGGGACACAAGCCTACCGCAACCTGAGGAGAGAAGGAGATGTCAGTCAAGAGGTGCTCCTTCAATCTTGGAGGAACAACCTCTCTAAGGCGAACATCACCACCTGGTGGACATCGAAGTATGCAAAGAGGACTCAAATCACTCTGATGATGGGCATCTGCCACGCCCTCATTGGCTACTCTCGCACGGGCAAGAATGAAAGTGGAGGTTCGGTGTCCACCAGAGACCTCTACATGCTCCACCAGCTTCACGAGCGAGTCATGATCCACTTGGGATGGGCGGTCGTCTGATTGTTTTTCCAGGTAGCTATGGACAAGTGTGGGAAGTACCATGGTGGTGCATATGTCACCCGTTTGGCGAGACACTTCGATTTGGCAGTCCGGGATTTTCGGTCCTAAGTACCATCGACCACCACACCCTTTTCCTCCAGGCCCCTTTATAGGATGAATTTCGTCGCTGCTCACGTGCCAGTTGATGAGCGTGATGATGAAGTTGAGGCATAGAATGGAGACCAGGCGATTTCTCCTCCACCTCCACCTCATGATGATGTCGGGCCCTCTCATGTGGGACTCACCTACAGTATGGATGCTTTTGAGGTGAGGTTGGCCAACATTGGGCATCACAATGATCTCATCCTCACCAACCAACAATGCTAGATGAGGAGGCAGCGGAGGATCTTGGAATACCTCGAGATCACATACGATGCCAACTCCAAGGCATCCGACGAGGACAATGATGTAGAGTGAGCCTTCTGTGGCATGGATGGCACCGAGGGCCATTCTCTACCCCTTTTCTCATCTTTCCTTTTCGTTTGAATAATGAACTTTGTAGGATGTTTAAGTAGTAAGCGTGTGCTTTTTATTTTAAGTACTTCTTAAAACCTATAATATATATAATTAGTACTTTTTTTAATTTTATTTTTGTGGGAATGATTAATCTTCTTCTTAGCTCCTTTTCATGGATGTTTCTCAAGGACCAAACCAACCTACCCTATCATTCCATCCCCCAAGTATCTTTCCTCCTCACGGAATTGTATGCTAAGGACCAAAGGTACCTTTTTAGAAATCAATGAGACCTCAAAACCTCTCGTTTGTACCCGCATGTATGGCAACCTAATGTAGAGTGCACGCTGATAAGTGGTGCTCGAGCTAAGACGAATCCGCCCATCAACTTTCCCACATGTGACCTCGATAGGGAAGGCTATGATTCATCCGCTCTTGGTCAATGAGGGAGAGAGACTTGTTTGCAAAAGAATTGCAAAAATTTGGTGCAATGCGCGTCAATGTCAAAAAAGGATATTGATAAACAACAACTCCTAAATCTAAAGAGAGAATAGAGAGCACCTTTGAGAGTTCATGTGCTTATTTGTTGTTTGAGAATCCCCCAGAGCACACCTTGAATGTTCGACCTAAGGTAGTAAAAATGGTCCTCATCCGAGAGTTTGTGCCTGCACAGTGAGATGATAGTAACTTTTTCTCGTCTTCGTTTACTCTTCTTTATGCAATGAAGAACTAGAGTGCATCTCACATTGATTTGTTTATTAAGTTGCATTGGTTTGAGTAGGTTTGCTTGGGACAAGCAAACGCCTAAGTGTGGAGGAGTTTGATAACACCTAAAATAAGTGTTATCTAGCCTCTATTCTCAGGAAAAATTCCAAAATACACACGTTTAAAAAAATAATCCCAAAATACACACGCTTTATGAAAAATTCTCAATCTACACGTGTTTGGGTACCACCGTGGACGTCAACCACGGTGAATGCATTCACCACTGCATACTAAAGCGATGAATGCATCACCGCGGTTGACGACCGCGATGAAGGCCTACACTAAGGCTGAAATTTCAAACTAACTTAATTTTGCGCTCGGTTAACCTATCGTAGTGAATTTTTATTGATTCGAAGATCTTTGAATCTACAATAGGCCTTCATGCAAAACAAATGTTGTTTGCTACCCCGAACGAGCAATTTTTTAATTTTTTTTCAAACTTTGGAAGGCCATAACTTTGTGGTCCTCAATCCGAAAGTCATAAAGTTTTTTTGATTGAGCATATCTTTTTAAGTACTACAAGTTTTACTAGGAATAAATTTTCAAAATAAGAAATATTTTTGGGTATACGGGATTTTGGGAATAACTTTGTCTTTACTTTTCACAAATCCACATACATTCCAAAATTATAGTTACGATGAAAGTTGTAGTCCTTCAAAAGTTATGCAAAATAAAAAAAATCATGACATTCGGACTGTGGAACACAAAGTTATGGTCTTCCAAAGTTTGTCGAAATTAAAAAATTGCTCGTTCGGGGTTGCAAACAACATTTTTTTGGGATGAACGAAATTGTAGATTGAAAGATCTTTAAAAATGATGCAAAATAAAAAAAATTCGCTACAATCGGATAACCGAGAGCAAAGTTACATTAATTTGAAATTTCAGCCTTAGGACAGGCCTTCACCGCTGCCGACAAACGCGGTGAAGCCGTCGACCGCGGTGATGCATTCACCACTTTAGTCTGCAACGGTGAATGTATTCACCGCGGTTGACGATCGCGGTGATGCATTCACCACTTTAGTCTGCAGCGGTGAATGTATTCACCGCGGTTGACGACCGCGGTGATGCCCAAACATGTGTAGATTGAGAATGTTTCATAAAAACGTGTGTATTTTAAGAATTTTTTTAAAACCATGCGTATTCTGGGAAAAAATCCTTATTCTCAAGGCATTTCCATGTTAAATCACTGTTTTGAGGCCACATATCAAGTTATTTATGCCCATTTTCGTTCCTATTTGTAAAACATGCATTTTAGCGTAGGTAATATTGATATGAAGGTTTTCATGGGGCAATCGACCCCACTTCTCGTATTTTATGCTTCTCCAAGTGTTTGTGATGAAATTCCAGGTCTCTTATACTTTTAGGATTGATCGAGAATCGACTGGAGTTCATCGGGGCATGATTGGGAAGCATAGGAGCAAGAAGGAAGGAAAAGGCGCAGGTCATGGCCACACGTCACGGGCCGTGACCATGTTTGCGGGCTGAAGATCGCTGCCGAGAACAGTGGTCGCGAACTAGAGAAGGCGACCAAGAAGAAGGCCGAAAGTTTTCCCAATCGAATCGCGGGCAAGGTGTATTTTGAACGTTAAGCAGGTTACGGCCTGGTCACGCCCTCGAGGCTGTGACCGATACTAGCTGCCTATAAATACTCCCTTTTCTGAACTTGACAAGGGAGAGCCAGCTTGAGGTGAGAAATTTAGGATTTTGGAGGGCTTTAGAGAGAGAAACACCTTGGGAGAGCTTCATTTTTTTATAAGGTGAAGTGCATTAAAAAACGAAAAGAAATAGCCAATGTTCAGGACATCACAAGCGGTGATGGCCATGGACAAAGGGCAAATCCAGGGACCGAAAAAAATTACAAGAGGAAACAATAGGGCCCCGTCATCCAGGAATCCCTTGAGCACAGAAGCAAAAAACGCCCACGCAGGGGTACAAGCCAGCTCGCACAGGAGCAAGAAACCGCACACAAAGAGGCAAGGCAAGGGAACACAAGGGTGCTCAAAACATCACATCCTAAGGAGGCTATTCTGCTGCCACTCCCTGCATTATCTTTTGTCAGCTTTCCCATGGACGACAACCCAATCGAGGACGTTTCGAACAAGCTTGCGGGTTAGAGTCGACGCGGGGATGGAGGTTTGTCTGAAAACTCTCTGGTTCCGCTCGATCCTCACATACCAAAAAATGGCATGGAGCGCACAATAGTGGAACCAACCAGTCACGCTGTCCGTGGAAGAGCTGGCCCAACCTTGGGAGAGCTTCATTGAAGATCCAATCAACCCAAAGAGCAAGGAGGAGGTGCAAACAAGGAGAAGAAGCTTGATTCCATCATTTCCCTCTTCTAGTTTGTATTTTCTTCTTCTCTCTAATGACTTGAATCTCTAATAATTGTTTAGAGTAGATGAAACCTAGTTATAGGTTGTGAGTGTTTGGGTTATGAATGAATGAATGTGTTTGTCTAGTAGATTCTTAATTCCACTCTTTCGTAAATGATGATGCTTGGGTAAGTCGCTCTAATCTTTCCTCTTAGCCTACTTTATGCTACCGTGTTGGGTAAGGATTTCTAGGGTTAGACAAGTATGCGCCATCTGGCGAGTTTAGGTTAGACGTGTGAATGGGGGCCTATAGTGGTCGAGGCGACCGAACCCTTGCTATAAGTAGCCTTCCTAGATAAAATCCGAGATGAAACCTCGGTGTGGATTGTGGATAGTGTCCATTGAAATAAGCCATAAGCTTAAAGCCTTAGATACGATAGTCTAGATCAAGGTGACTGAAACATGGGTTTAGGGGAGGCATACTCGGAGACGTGTGGATAACAACGAAGACCCACGAAAAAGAGCTCACTCACCACATTCGATTAACCCTACTTTACAACCTTAGCTAGGAGGATTCTACTCTAGGAAACCATCTTATCTCTAGCATCCTCCCAACCACTTGGTTGGTTGTTTATTTTGCCTTAGGAGAAGGTTAATTTAGTTAAAACCCCTCACCAAACTTCCATCTTGATGGGATAGTAGTTCGAAGCTAAGTAATAATACACTGAGGGATCCCTCGGAATACGACCGGGCCACTTTACTACAACCCTAGCTAGGTTATACTTGGCTTAGTTAGGATTGAATAGAAAGTGTGGTTCGAGCTTATAAATTTAAAGCTCGATTGTGCACCCGAGGAGCGATCAGTCCGCCAGCTCCACCTCCCTGAAGTTGATTACCCTCACGTCGTCCAGAAATTTGAAATCACAAGGATTCGACTCCAAGTTCCTGCTGTTTTTCCTCTACCTCGCCGTGATGTTCATTGTCTTCAACCCCCTGGTGGATCTAGCTCTGGCAGCACTCGATCCCGGAGCAGATCTACGAGTTTGCATCGGCGATCCGCCTGGATGAGATGGTGGCAGAGATTTGGTCGCACAGGGAGAATCCTCTTTTGAATACTTAATATCAAACCAATTTTTGAATATAAAATTTACAATCAATTATCATTATAATTATTTTCAATTATCATTATGTGTTCTAATAATTTAATTATTCCATGAATGTTGTAAATAAATAATGTTGTAGCTTTTATAGTCACATTTTCTTTTTTACAATTTTTTACCGAATATAGTAGCTTTTATATTTTATTTATTATTTTGTTACTTTCCATCTTTTTTGTGCTAATTTTTTTCAATTAGTGGAATATGTTTAATTCTTTCTGATTGCATTCCATTTATCCTTCTTTGATTTTGATATATTGATGATTGATTAGGTTCTATTTTAACTATTTCTAATGGTGCTTCTAATTGAATTAGGGGGTTTAAATAGATATTTAAATATTTATTTTAAATATTTATTATTATATTCTACTATATTTATTATTCTTCTTGATATTCGTTTATTATTTTTACTAATTTATCTATTTTATTGAAATTTTTTTATTAGTCATTATAGTAATAATATGTTTAGAAGGTTTCCTAATTATTATATTAGATCAAACTTGTTGAAATATAGTTTTGGATGTTTTTAAAAGTTTTGGGTATAAAAAAGTAATTAAAAGTTTGGGTTGGATGGAAAAGTAGACGGATGCACATTTTAGCAACTTAAATGGTACCCGGCTCCCTATTCAAACTTAAGTGGTATGTCTACCCCGATTATCAAACTTAAGTGGTACCCGAGGTATTTTACCCGCGTCGGGTACCATTTAAGTCGCCAAAAGGTGCATCCGTCTAGTTTTGCATCCAACCCAAACTTTCAATTACCTTTTGATACCCAAAACTTTTAAAAGCATCCAAAACTATATTTCAACAAGTATTATCTAATATAAAAATTGGAAAACCTTCTACACATAGTATTGCTAGATTGGCTAATGAAAATTTTCAATAAAATAGATAAAAATTATAGTAAAAATAACAAAAGAGTATCAAGAAGGAATAATAAATATACTAGAAGATTATAATAAATATCTAAAATCAATATTATAAAATCTATTTAAACCCCTAATCCAATTAGAAGCACCGCTAAAAATTTAAAATAGAACCTAATTAACTATCAATACATCAAAACCAAAGAAGAATAAATGAAACACAATCAGAAAGAATTAAACATATTCTATTAATTGAAAAAAATAGAACGAAAAGAGACGAAATATTACTCAGTAATAAGTAAACTATAAAAGCTACAACATTCAGTAACAAATCTAGAAGAAAAAAATATAACTATAGGAAGGAATTTAGAATTAGTAAATTTAACTGATATAGAACATCTACAATATAATATGTAAAATTAGACACATCAGCAAGTTATAAGAGAACTAAATATAACATTCTCAAATTATTTATGTCGAGACAAAATTCATAGGATATATTTTCTTCAGAAAATAATTTAATTATTAGAACAAATAATGATAATCAAATATTTAGAATGAATAATTGATTCCAAATTTCCTATTCAAAATTGACTTGAAGAGAGTCTTTAAAGAGGATCTAACTAAACAATAAAAAATGATATTTTCATAAGTCCAAAAGATGTTTTTAGAATAAGAAAAGTAGAAGGACTAATTTTGAAATTTAGAAAACGGAATATTTAAGAACATTCTGTCAATTTTAACGGGATGCACTTAAGAGTAAACTTAAGTGGTACCGAGTGCACATATAAGAGAGTTCAGTGGCACACGATGCACTATTCTTACTTAAGCGGTATATCTTCTCTAATTCTCATATTTTAGTGGTACACGAGGTATTTTACCTTCATTTCTAATTAGATTCATGCTAGTAATTAGAAAATGATTAAATTAGGGTTAATTGCATGGTTGGTCACTTAAGATTACAAAAAACGTTCACGCTTGGTCACTCGAAATATTTAAATCCATTGGTGGGACTTCAGTTTATTGAAACCGTTCATCTTTGGTCACTCTCCGTCCAACTCCGTTAACTTAGTGACGTGGCAACTAAAAAATTATTAAAAATAAAAAAAAATTATATTTTCCACCTCATTATTACATTCATTAAAAAATAAAAAACCTAATTCATAAAAAAACCTAATTTCTTTATTTTAGAAAACGAGACTTGCTTCCCGCAATCTCTGGCTCTGCCAAATGAGAGAGGGGTGATTTATTGATTTACCCATAGTAAAACCAGAAAATGTTGAACCCACACCTCCATAGTAAAATCAAAATCCCTGCTCTTCTTCATCGGCTGCGCCCCTCCGCCTCCACCACCGCCGCTGCCAATTCCGATTGGCAGAACTCCAAGGACAGGCGCCGGCCAAGACCCTGATCAACACCACAAACCCTTTCCAGATTTAGCACCGACGGCGGTGGATTTATCATCCGGCAGCATCGAAGACGACGTCGATGATGTCGAAACATCAAAATCAAGGCTGATGGAGCTCCGGCGGCTCTGCCGTCGCTTTATATCTTTGAGATCCATACTCCTCACCGGGAAATTCCACTCCATCCCAAACGCCAAGCAGAGATACCCTCTTAAACTCGATCTCCCAGCTATCCGACCGCCCTTCTTCTTCACCGGCAACGAACAAGACGAATAAGATGATGAATTTGACGAGGAAGAAGAGGAGGAAAATGATTTCATATTCCAGGGAAAAATCCTGCCACTGCCACTCTGTTTCTTCTTCTTCTTACCCTGCTCTTCCTGCTTCCTTTTCTTCTACTTATGGCTTCACTTTTACTGTTCTGTTTAGCGAGGCGGAGGAAGCATCGGAGCCGCCGCGGGAGGGAAGCAAGCCTCGTTTTCTAAAAAATAAAGAAATTAGGTTTTTTATTTTTTAATGAATGTAATAATGAGGTGGAAAATATAAAAGTTTATTTTTTTATTTTTAATAATTTTTTAGTTGCCACGTCACTAAGTTAACGGTCAACTTTTAGAGTTGATTGCCACATCAGCAAAAGTTAACGGAGTTGGACGGAGAGTGACCAAATATGAACGGTTTCAGTAAACTGAAGTACCACCAATAGACTTAAATATTTCGAGTGACCAAACTTGAACGTTTTTTGTAATCTCAGTGACCAATCATGTAATTTATCCGATTAAATTAATTTGGTTTTGGGAAAGAGTTACATAAGAATAAAGGAAGGAGAGAGAATGAGTAAATTGAATTACTAAATTAATTTTGTGTGTGAGAGAAACGAGGGTGTATATATGAAAGTGGAAAAGAAAGAAAAGTGGTATTAGTGTAGAATTAGAGATGTTGTGTTTGATGAAAATAAATTATATGAATGGGTGTCTAACGTAAAATTTGTGCTCACCCAGTTGACGTGGAAAAGTTGTGAATATGTGGCTGATATGAATATGAATATGAAGAGGAGTTGCAAGAGGGATACATAACAGCTCCAGAAATCCTAATTGTGAATATGACTGATTTAAATTTTAATATGAAGAGGAGTTGCAAGAGGGATACATAACAGCTCCAGAAATCCTAATTCCTTACCAAAACAATACCATTCGTAAACCTGCAACAGTGCAACTCTTTTAGCCATAACCTCATAACAGCCAATGCAGTCAAAATCGGGATTTTGATCGTAAAATCGTAGGATTTTACTTAGGGATTCCGATCCTGATTTTACTATAAAATCGGTGGACCTTAAAATCGTTCAAAATCGGGATTAAAATCGTTAAAATCGTAGAATCGTACCAAAATCGGAATTTTGATCCTATGTGAACTAAATAGGGAGCTTGAGCCAATTCAAAAGAAGCAGAATTGTTTCGGTGGAAAGGGCAATGACGGGGATCTTCTCATATATTTTTTCCTATTAAAAGAACATTTGAAAAGAAGAAGAAAAACTAATTAGGGTTCGGTCAACCCCTTGCCCTTCTCCTTGTTTAACTCATCGGTAAAACAATTGGCAAAATATTGTAAGTGCGTAAGAATTAACATCATTATTAACAAATTATTTAATTAATGAATATATTCGTACCAAACCAATGACATTAATTATTTTATTGGATTTCAGTTATTCATAGTTTTAAATCATGCTTAGTAGACGATATCGGAATACTATTTTGAGTTAAACTACCTAGAAACAACATGAAAAATAAGAGCCAAACCCCATGAGCTCTATCCATTCCTCATAAATGATTTTGAGTTACGCATTAAATAACAATAAAAATGATGATTTTGGAACATTAATCTTAAAAATTATCACTTTAAATGTTATAAGTCTTTGTGTTATTAATTATTTACCTTATTATTATTATTATTATTATTATTATATGTTAATTTCTATATGGTACTTAAAATTCTACGATTCTACGATTCGATTTTACGATTCCGATTTTACCCCAGTTTTCGATTTTAGGTAAAATCCCGATTTTAACTGCTTTGATAACAGCTAAAAGAGGAAGATTTTGACGAGACAAAATTTGATTTACGTTTAACTAACTCATAATTTTGGGCCCAATATATAGAAGACCACCTAGTCATGTATGACTACACATACTTCACAAACACATAATGGTTCGCATGTTAGTAGTAATCAATGATCCTTATGAAGAGGTTGCATAAGATCCAAAGTGGAAACGGCTAAGAAGCAATAGATGGAGGTAATTGAGAGCAATTCAACATGTACTCTTATTTCCTTATGCAAAAGCTGGGATTGACTATGCAAAAGTATTTGTTATGTGTCAATATAGGATACAAGCACTCTTAGCATTAGCTGCATATCATGGGCTTATTGTCTATCAACTTGATGTTAAAAGTTTTTTTTTGTATGAGAGGTTTCTGAAGCTTTTTATGTTTGAGAAAATCACAAGGATCATGGTTGTTGCAGTGGATAAGAAGACAAAGCAATTTATGGATTGAAGATGGTCCATGAGCTTGGTATAGCAGAAGTGAGGCATACTTTTCTAAATATCGTGTTTGAAAGGAGCACTTATGAGCATATATTATTCATAAGATGGAACTACGATTATGTTGGTTAGTTTCTATGTGGACGACATCACCTACACTAGTAACAGTCCCGAGTTAATTGAAGACTTTAAGGAAAAGATAAAGGCAATATTTGAATATACTAATAGTGATTATGTTGGAGAATTGGATGACAGAAGAGTGGATACACCTTCTTTTTGTTGGAGGAGTTGTTTCGTGGGCATTAAAGAAGCAACCATTGATAACTTTTTCCATCACTGAGGCAGAATTTGTTGCAGCTTCCTACTATCCGTCAAGTGTGTCTGGCTTAGGAGGATTTTATAACAAATGGGATGGGAAAAGATTGGAGGAAGCTACCAAAGTTATATATGACAACAACTCCATCATCAAGCTTTCTAAGAACCAAATTCTTCATGGCACAAGTAAGCACATAGATGTGCGATTTCATCTCCTCGAAGATCTGACAAAGGAAGAAGTTGTGGAATCAGTGCATTGTGGAATAGAGGATAAGGTAGTTGATCCGATGACTGAAGCGCTCAAACTAGATACCTTCGAGTTGTTGAGGACTAAGTTGGGTGTGATCAAAGTTGTAGAAGCTACCCTCTAAAGATTGATGTTTGAAGATGATTTGGGAACTGAAGCTTGCTGACTAATTTCATTTTAAGGGAGGATTTGCTCAAGATTGGATTTCTGTTTAACTAGAACTTGGTCTCAAGAGCAAGCAAGTCGAAGGATTGAAATGAAAGGTCCTTCATAGCCAAACTATGTCATGTTAGTATTTTACAGTTCAATCTAATAGTTCTGTTTTGAGTCAAATAAGTCCATTCGAGTTTCTAGGTTAGCTGGAGTTTGGAAGTCAAGGTTGGAGCTTTGTTGGCCGAGTTAGTTGAGTCATGTTAGTAGGAATCAAGGGATTGAGGATTAGTATGGTTAGTGGAGATCGGAGATATCAAATTCTATTTAAAAAAAAAATACTATTTATATTTATTGGAAAATCTTATATGAATTTGTTTTTGTTAATAATAAATTGATTATAAATAAGAATTTACTACTTTATTATAGAAATGACGTATTATCGAATTCTTAGTTGGGTTAAAATATATAAATAAAATTTTGCTCATCATTTACAGAAATAAAAAAAGGAAAATAAAATAGGAGAAGGAGGTCATAAATTGGTAACTTGTAAGCCTTGAGGCTTCATAGTTATGACATGCATGCACTTAGTAGGTTGTGCAACGAACTATACGAATTGCAATTCAATAGTAAAAATCATTTTAGGACCCATAATTTTACCATTGTATTCAATCCGGTTTATTTTTTCTCATTATTTATAAATTTACGAAACTAAAGACCAAATTATCTTACATTCGTTTTATATGAGTGAGTAATGACTATTTATTAGCCAAACCTTTTTCGGATTCTTTTTTATTAGTCAGACTTATCGAAATACTCAAAAATTAGCCAAATGTTTTGTAATGCATCAAAATATTAGCATTTTTTACGTTATCGTTAATAATTTTGTAACTATTTTCTTACTCCATATCAGTATTATGTTTGCAAGTCAATATTACTAACAAAATTACTAATCACAAATTAACATTTAGCTAATTATTAGTAATTAAATAAATTGGCTAATAAAAAAAAATCTTTGAAAAAAAGTTTGACTATTAAATAGTCGGTAATATGATTCAATCCAAATATACTTTTGGTCGGATATAATCAGATACAGTCATACAGACGAAACTCTAAAGTGTTGCAGAACCTAGCAGTTAGTACTTAGTACTGGTGTACTATTGAGTTATTGACTGGGCACCTTTTATTGGATCCGCAACTTCACTATTTTTCGTCACTCTATCATTTCTGCAGCTCAATTCTCCGATTTCCTCATCGGCGAGTCCACCTCCGGCAACGCTACAGATCGGGAGCCGACTGGCAAGGTACTCCTCTTCCTCTCCCCTCTAATTCCCTAACATCTGTCTTGGGTGTGATCTTTGATTTTCAGGTTTAGAAAGAAACCGTCCAAATTTCTTCCTCTCTTTCCAGTCAGGAAATCTCGAATTAGTCTCCCTCTTCTTGTTAGATTTACGGGTTTTGAATTCATTTGTGCTGCGCTGATAAAATGATTTGGGTGTGTGATATCTCGATTTGATCTGTGTGATTTGGGGCTTGACTCCGTCATTTGATTAGCGATCGTGTAGATCTGTTGAGAGTTGAGTTAGTTGCGTAAATGGTAAAATTTTGGAAATGCCAAATGGCTCGCAACCACTACTTGGTTCTGTATTCACTTTGTTTGATATATCGTCTGTCCTCGGTTCTTTTCCTCTAGCTGAATTCGGTTATGATGTTGCCTGAGATGCCTTGTTTGTTGGTTTTTCTTTTTGTTGGATGTCTGCGTTATTGCTATCCTACCATTGCAATCATAGCTTCAGAATTCATGATTTGCCTGGTGCACCTTGAAGTAAAAGGGTTTTATTGTGAAATTACCAGATATTGAAAGTGGGGTGATGGAGAAATCATGTTCTTTGCTGGTCCACTTCGACAAAGGAACACCAGCGATTGCAAACGAGATCAAGGAAGCTCTAGAAGGGAATGACGTTCTAGCCAAGATTGATGCTATGAAGAAGGCAGTCAGTCTTCTGTTGAATGGCGAAACCCTTCCTCAGCTTTTCATCACAATTATTAGGTATGTTTTGCCTTCTGAGGATCACACCATACAGAGGCTATTGCTGCTCTACTTGGAAATCATTGACAAGAAAGATGCTTCTGGAAAGCTTCTACCTGAGATGATATTGATATGCCAAAACTTGAGAAACAATCTTCAACACCCAAACGAGTACATTCGTGGGGTGACTTTGAGGTTTCTTTGCCGGCTTCATGAGACCGAAATAATAGAGCCGTTGATTCCCTCGGTGCTGCAAAATCTGGAGCATCGACATCCCTTTATCAGGAGGAATGCCATCTTTGCAGTTATGTCAATATATAAGCTTCCCCAGGGTGACCAGCTTCTGGTTGATGCTCCTGAAATGATTGAAAAGGCCCTTTCCACTGAGCATGATCAATCAGCAAAGAGGAATGCATTTCTGATGCTTTTCACTTGTGCGCAAGAGCGAGCTATTAATTACCTTTTCAGCCATGTGGATAAGATCCCGGAATGGGGGGAGCAGCTTCAAATGGTTGTTTTGGAGTTGATTCATAAAGTGTGTAGAACAGATAAGGGAGAGAAAAAGGGGAAATACATAACAATCATCATATCTTTGTTGAATGCCACTTCTAGTGCTGTGGTTTATGAGTGTGCTGGGACACTTGTTTCTTTGTCATCTGCACCTACTGCTATTAAAGCTGCTGCTAACACTTATGGACAACTTCTCCTGTCTCAGAGTGATAACAATGTCAAGCTCATTGTGCTTGATCGACTGCAGGAGCTTAAGTCTTCTCACAGGGAAATCATGGTTGATATGGTTATGGATGTGCTTAGGGCACTCTCGAGCCCCAATCTTGATATACGCCGGAAGACCCTTGATATTATCCTTGACCTGATCACTGCACGCAATGTGAATGAAATTGTGCAGATGTTGAAGAAGGAAGTTGTCAAGACTCAGAGCGGAGAGCTTGAGAAGAATGGTGAGTATAGGCAGATGCTTATTCAAGCCATCCATTCTTGTGCTATTAAGTTCCCGGAGGTTGCAAGCACGGTGGTTCATTTGTTGATGGATTTCCTTGGAGATAGCAACATTGCTTCAGCTATTGACGTGGTCATTTTTGTTCGAGAAATAATTGAAACCAATCCGAAACTCAGAGTTTCAATAGTAACAAGGTTGTTGGATACTTTTTACCAGATCCGAGCTGCCAGGGTATGCGCCGGTGCTCTTTGGATCGTTGGAGAGTACTGCCTTTCCCTCTCTGAAGTTGAGAGTGGCATAGCAACAATCAAGCAGTGTCTTGGGGAACTGCCCTTTTTCTCTATAACAGAAGAAGGTGAAGTTACTGATACTTCCAAAAGGCCTCCACAACAAGCAAGTTCAATCACTGTTTCTTCAAGAAGACCTGCTGTCCTTTCTGATGGGACATATGCGACACAAAATGCTGCTTCTGAAACTGCCTTTGCCGCTCCTACTATGGTTCAGGGGTCATTATCTTCTGGAAACTTGAGATCCCTTCTTCTCACCGGTGATTTTTTCCTTGCCGCAGTTGTAGCCTGCACTTTGACCAAACTTGTACTGAGATTGGAGGAGGTACAGTCTTCTAAGGTAGAGGTGAACAAAGCTGCCACTCAGGCTTTGTTGATAATGGTCTCCATGCTGCAATTGGGGCATTCTTCTGTTCTGCCTCATCCAATTGACAGTGATTCTTATGATAGGATTCTTCTGTGTATAAGATTGCTATCCAATACTGGTGATGACATTCGGAAGATATGGTTGCAGTCATGCCGTCAAAGTTTTGTGAAAATGCTCTCAGAAAAGCAATTGAGAGAGACCGAGGAATTGAAGGCAAAGGCTCAAGTTTCTCACGCACAACCAGATGATCTTATTGACTTTTATCACTTGAAGAGCAGGAAGGTAAGAACTAAGAACCTGTTGGATGCGATTTTTACTGTATATACAGTCGCTGCTGTTTGTTGCTTTTTGTGTTGCGATATAAATCTTTGCATCATGCATATTACTATGATTAGGAGTTTCATGTTGTACATGCCTGTCCCCTCAATTGCTTGTCCTTGCATGGTGCTTGATACATGCATCATAATTTTCAGGGTATGAGTCAGCTCGAGTTAGAAGACGAAGTTCAGGATGATTTAAAACGTGCAACAGGAGAGTTTATCAATGATGGCAATGATACAAATAAGCTTAACCGAATTCTTCAGCTCACTGGATTTAGTGACCCTGTATATGCTGAAGCATATGTCACGGTTCATCACTATGATATTGTACTTGATGTCACTGTTATCAATAGGACAAAGGAAACTCTCCAAAACTTATGCCTGGAGTTGGCTACAATGGGGGATCTCAAACTAGTCGAACGACCCCAGAATTATGCTTTGGCTCCCGAATCAAGCAAACAGATAAAGGCTAACATCAAGGTCTCCTCAACTGAGACGGGGGTTATTTTTGGGAACATAGTATATGAGACATCAAATGTGTTTGAACGGACCGTTGTTGTCCTTAACGATATCCACATTGATATCATGGACTATATTTCTCCTGCATTTTGCTCAGATGCTGCATTTAGAACCATGTGGGCAGAGTTTGAATGGGAAAATAAGGTAACCTCTAGAATCTTTCTTTCTGAGATTTCCTTTGGTTGCTTCTGTTATCTATTGCTGAACAACTTGTTAAGATGGAAAATCTGCTTGATTGTTGGATCCTTTGTCCATTTTTCCACTGGTGTCTTTTTCATAACTTTATAACTTGTTGGTATGCTGTTTTATCTTTTGTCAAAGATGAAGCAACTTTTTGAATTTAAACTTAAAAAATGGTTGGGGTTTTAAAAATGTAGAATTGATGCTTGTGAATATTTTTAGTGATAAAAGAATTATCGATGGATAGTTGATATAGTTTATTTAGTACTAAACAAATGAGTATTGTCTTTAACTTTATTTAAGAGTATATATGCTTATACAAAGAACTGAAAGAAGCGAAGTTAGAAATGAGTTTTTTTAGTTAGGTAGTTTAGAAATCTTTGTTTTCTGAACCGGATTGGATATTGAACTAGAAAAGTTAGTGTTTATGGATTGGTGGTTAACCGATAGAACTGTTGGTTGATAACTGTTTATTATAAAGCATTCATACCATGTCAAATACAAGATATATGTAATACACTAATTTAAAACTGAATATTTCATTAACCATAAACAATTTCAAATTAGTAATTAGGATGGTATTAAACCACGAGGCGGAAAAAAGAAGAAGTTGAACTGAAATTAGTAATTAGGGTTCGTTGAGATTGGTTCGCGTTATAGTTTTTGTTTGTAAACTATTTTTGTGGACAAAATTAATATTGAACCAGTGGACTAGTCGAACCGAGGCAGTTTATCCGGTGTTGTATCCAACTGCTAAAAATCGTTTGGTCCATTTCTGTCAGTCCAAGTAAACGGACTGTCCCGTTATTGTAACAGGTTGGTGGTTCTACGGTTTGGCTGGCTTGTCTGGTCCGATTGCTATAAAGATGGTTTATATAGTTCGTGGGGTTAGGACGTTATGGTTGGTGGTCAACTTTTTTTCCAACTCACTTGTTCAGCCAAACAAACACACATTGCATTTTTTTTTTTATAAAGGTGATATAAGTTTCTTTTTTTTGTGTGATTAAGGTACTACTTAAAGGATTCGAACATGGGTCCTTCAGGTTCTAGGCTAATGGTAGCCATCTGATCACCAAAAGCCAGTGCATGCTTTTTTCTAATACTTCTCTCTGCTTTTGTCAGGTTGCTGTTAACACAACGATTCAGGATGAGAAGGAATTCCTGGACCACATCATGAAGTCAACGAACATGAAGTGCCTCACTGCGCCGTAAGTCTTTTTGGTGTTATGTCTGGATTGTGTGTCATGTTTTGTTGAACTACCAGAAGATTCATTTGTACCAGGAAGAGAGTTGGTCTTTGGCTGAGGTGCATGTCTGCTGTCTGGTTTGGTTTTTCCCAGGTCTGCACTGGATGGAGAGTGTGGATTCCTAGCTGCCAACCTGTATGCGAAGAGCGTGTTTGGTGAGGATGCTTTGGTGAATATAAGTCTGGAGAAGCAGGGAGATGGGAAGCTCAGTGGGTACATTAGGATAAGGAGCAAGACCCAGGGAATTGCGCTGAGCTTGGGCGATAAAATCACCCTTAAGCAGAAGGGTGGAGGTAGTTGATGTGGGAATGATCCAGGTTAGAAACACACAGGTAACCCATATTTCCCCCATAATCTCAAGCATGTGTTTAAGGGTGGCTAACTTGTTAACAGTTTAATTGAAGATGCATTACATGGTTTCAGGCATACTTAATCAGTTTTCAATTTTAAGTTAAGGGTTTTTGTTTTGAAAACTGGAAACATAATTGAGAAACTTGATATTTAGGAGGGATAATTCAATTCGATTTCGATTCCATGAATGCTCTTCAAATAAAGTGAAAAAGAAAAATAAATGACCGAATTGAAATTTAGATCGGGCCAAATTGGAGCAAATGAGTTTTTGGTCGCTTTGGTCTCCCTTCTCTACTTTTGTCCTGTCCATTCTCGGTTTGGTCCGATTCTGGATCTAACCCGGTCATGCCCACCCCTACCCTTGATATATAAAAACAAAAGATTATTTGTGTAAAGGGTTAATACTTTAATTTGGCTCGAACTATAGAAAAACTTTTTACATTGGCCCGTGGTATCGGAAATTGCTATCTTGGCCTAAACTATGTAGCATACTTTCTTATTTGGTTCGGAGGCGGGTTTGACCGTTAAATTGGATGGTCAACCGAGTTGACCGTTAGTCAAGTTCCACCTCACTTGCCACGTCAGCTATCAGGGAATAAAAATTTAATTTTTTTATTTTTTTATTTTGAATTTTGTTTATTTTCTAACAATAAAAATAATAAACGAAAAAAATTAATTAAAAGAGCTCTCCAAATTATTTTTAATTAATTTTAGAAATTCAATAAAATTAATTTTTTTATTTTCTGATAGCTGACGTGGCAAGTGAGGTGGACTTGGGCTAACGGTAAACTCGGTTGACCGTCTAATTTGACAGTCAAACCCACCTCCAGGCCAAATAAGAAAGTATTCTACATAGTTTAGGCCAAAATAGCAATTTCCGATACCACGGGTCAAAGTAGAAAGTTTGTCTATAGTTCGGGCCAAACTAAAGTATTAACCCTTGTGCAAAATAATTGAAATATGAGGGAATAAGTTTCAACAAAACCCACCAAATGGGGAACAGGATGTACCAATCCAGTGAACTTTATGAATACCGGTTCTGATCCTAGTTGTGAACAGTTATGAGTTTCAATTATAAACTTATCATGCTTTTAGTTGGGCGAATCAGACTGAACCAGTTAACCGCCTCCTATTTGTCCAGTAGGCAGTATCCATTGATCGGTTTGTGTTATCGTTTTCAGGTGCTACCTGCAAATTTTCAAAGCTGGAAGATGCCTCTCAGCAGCCAAATTTTTTTGCACATCTGTATCTATCTACACTACCTAGGAGGGTTGAAGGAAGTGACTGATGGGCGTATTATACAGTTATTTCTTGTTAAAATTTGCATTGGTTGAGTAAGATCACGACCCAAATAGATGGTCTCGAGTTTCAACCCCCCATGGATATAGCAAGCAATTTTGATTCTCTAATCACTTTCCACCCGAGCAGTTTATCCTTTGTCGCCAACCTTCCATTAATGACCAGCAAAACCAACAAGCTGTGTTTTGGATAAAAAGGCCTCCTCCAAAGGATGTGTGGCCAGGATACTGCTACTCCAGACCTTCTAATTACGGGTGTACCTCTCTTGGTTGGGTCGGTTTTCATCGTTTTAACCACATAACCAGTAAGTCTCGGATTGAATGATGGTGAACCCAAACATATCCATAAATTTCAATACCCTATGATTTTTCTTGAGTTACAGTTCGATCGGGTTGGATGAAAGTTCGATCGGGTTGGATGAAAATTCAATCCATTAGCGAGAATAAAATGTTCATGTTAATAATATAATTCAACGATTAATACATACATGACACTACATGAAACTACAAAACAAGAAAGATATTGTAGTAACATATTGCATTCCTACTAGAAAAAAAAACAAGAACTAAAAATATTTTATCTATTAGTACATTGTATTAAACTAAAAAAATAAAATATAAAGAGAGGATGCGGAGATACATGTATGTGTTAAGAAAACACTATGATAAATAATTGAGTTTCATTTTATCACCACTAACTATATGAACAAATGACATGAATCATAATTAAAGTAAGAAATTTGTGGTCAAGGAATATATATTAAATATATAATCTATCACGGGCCGGTTGGATAAGCTCGGGTTGTAATCATCCAAACACAAATCCAACCATAAGGATGCAGAGATAACGTGTTGACCATAACTAATGAGGAAAGGGAGGATTTGCTTGTCATTTTTAAAATCTACAAGGGAACACTTGTGGAGTGCGGGGACTACAAGTATCATAAAGTTGATAAGAAACATGCAAGCTACACTACAAAAATATAGTAGACCATAAAGCTCAATAGCTTTTTACCCGGCCCGTTGGTCGGAGAGATTTATTTATAATTTATATTAATTAACTTATTTATATGTTTAAATAATTTTTGATCTTCTAAATATTTTGTGTTCTTGATTCATAAAAGAGTTTGTATTATGTATATATTGAAAATTTCCAATATTCAGTACACTCACTTCTGATGCTTTGGTTTTCTAATCATAAATTATGCCGCTGTCACGTCCCATTTAGAACTTATGTCAAAATTTGTCAACCAAAGCACTAATATTTAGCGTATGCCAACATGAACCAGACACACATATGTATATATATAGATCAAGCTAGCGTGCGCCTAGAGTACGCTATACTCTTGCGTTCACACTACCATAAGACCATTGAGTTTTACTATTTAGACTCCAGAGTTTTTTGGAGCATGATACTATACCCTAACCTCTAATAGGTGAACTCAAACCCCTAATTCTCTAACCTCTAATTTATGCAAATACTTTATCATACCTATCTTCTATCGTATCTTGAGTAAAATCAAAATATAGTATACCTTGATATTATATATATGTATATGTGTGTGTGTATATATATAGTAGACTCAAAATTATCCAAATACTTTGTTAGACCTATCTTATCTCGCCTAATACTCATATTAAAATTGTTACTTGCCTATCCCTCACCCTCGGGATAGAGATCCCACTTTTACCCCCCATAACGTCAGACAACCATTGGGGTTGTCTATCGTGTGATATGTAATATATAAAGAGGCAAATCCTAAGATCCTGCTATTTATTTTTTATCCTCTCCCGCCGCCCCCTTTATGGAGAATGATGGTAGGGAAGACAGGATCATAGCTCGATATGGTTTTATTCTATTAATTGTATCGCGTCCGTCAAATTCAGGCGTTGGTACATTATACTGGGTGGCAACTTTTTGGCACACGGCCTCGTAGGTTATGTTCTTTTTATTTTTATTTTTTTGGCTTCTTTTCATTCTTCTTTGGCACCTATGGTTGTGATCAAAGGTATTTAGCCCCCGAAAGGGATTGGGATTTTAGATCATTTGGAAATCCAATACACATTCATGATCATCAAGTTTGGACGAACTCTCGACCAATGTTGTAAAGAGTAGGACTTTTTAGTGAGAAATTATTAGTAAAGATACTTCATTATTGGATCAATTTATTCATCCATATTGAAACTTGACACACACCATAGTCCTCGTGATAATTAAATTCTATAATCTCGGCTCATTTCCATTTGGGATGTTAGTTTTTTTTATCAAGACTCTTAAATTTAGTATATTATACAATATGTATCAATTGTTAATTTTTTAAGTTTAGATGAAACTTCAACCCATGGTCATTGTTTATATGTTGGCTTAGAATCTCAATCTAAGACATTCGCACACACTATCGAGGATTTTGGTCTTAACATGGTCGTTGAATGTGTAATTTTCAAAGATTTTATCACTTATATATTAATATTTGATAAAGAGTGTCTACAATACACACATATTTCAAGTGCATTTAAAATGTCTCATCATTTGAACAATATCAGTGAATTTTATTTGATTATTTGCATTAACTTATTATCTATACAACATATATCAATTCGTGTTTCTCGAGTTTAGACGAACTGGCAACCAATTTTGAGAGTTGAGATTATTGATAAAGATACTTGATTGCTGGATAAATATGTTTACCCCAATTGACTATCTTACTAAAAATTGCCAACTTTTATTTGGTAAATGTCTAGGTTAGTAGTTGATGAAACACGATGTTTATCGTAGATTCTCAACGAAGATTCTCTAACCTTCCTTATGTTATTTTTCAAGAAATCTTGTGTCTCATCCTAGGGCATGAAGTCAAAGTTCGTCAACAATTATACTTAAGTCATTTTGAAAATTATGATTTATAATCGTTGACGATAACTCCAAGTCTGGAAGAAAATTTCTTAGCATACGACTTAGGACCTCAATAGGGTTTTCTCAATCAACATGATATAGAACAAATATTATTAATGTGAACTTAGGACACATTATAAAATTATTGCACATGCGATTTCTCTTCATTTGAGGAGTTTAAGGTAGAACATGATCTGAGGAATAAGAAGTATTTTTTAAATAAATAACTATAACTACTCGATCAAGATTATACTCTGACATTTTGCTAAATAATTTTGTTTATTTTATACACATATAAATTATGAATAAGAGAGTGTTTCATTGCAACAAAATATATTGTAATATACTTTATTTTTCATAGGTAATTGAATGTCAAATGTTTATTTTCTCTCTTTTCAGATAAATTTTGTTTAATCGAAAAAAAACATTATTGTTTATGTGTATGTTTGTATAATTTTTTCATCAAAATGTAACTTATCATTCAATTTTAGTAAAAATGAGTAAAAAATTTAATTCATAAGATTTAATCAGATATTTTTTATTTAAACAAATGTGGTATACGTTACTTTCTGTTTTCTTATTTATATTTTTTTAATGGACAAAAAAATTATTTATGTGCGTTTGTTTAAGTTTATCAACATGTAACTTATTATTAAAACAAAAAAAAGGATAAAAGAAATGAAAATATTAAAGAAGAGAGAGGTAGCTCCATAAATACATTAATAACTAATTTTTTTGTTTGTAAAAAAGTTGTCCAACTTGGCAAATTGTGGATCTTCCAAGTGCTTATGTGGCAAGAGATTGCTTTTGAATTGCCATAATATATAGTATAGATAGATAGATAGATAGATAGATATAGATATAGATAGATAAGTATATCATAAGATCATCACACCACAAAACTCATGAAACAGATCATAAAACTCATTTAGCATATGAGAAGCTCATAACCCCACAAAATTTATAAAGTATACAAAAAACTCCATAAAGCTGATCACATGTTTCATGAATCATACCAGAAAACTATAAAAGCTAACCACAAGTATTATGAAACATACTAAAAAACTCAATCAAACCAGAAACACAATAAATCACATCACAAAACTCATAAAATAGTCTTGAAATATCATAGCATAAAAAATGTAGAAAACATAGCACAAATAGTATTATTAAATTAAATATTTTTTTTTATAAATGTAGTTACATTATTCAAAAGCTACCAACCAAAAGAACAAAACACCAATGAGGTAAAAAAGGGAAGAAAGAAATGCTAAAGACCCTAAAAAACAAGTAGACGAATAAGATGATCGTAATCTCACCATCATATTTGTATATAGGAATTGGGAAAAGCAAAAACGAATAGGAAGATGTTTACACGTAAAAAATTAACTTTGTATCAGATCACCTAATTACAAGAAAATTCATGGTTTTATAAAACCAGCTCAACATTAAACAATAAACATTAGATAAATTAGATGGGCATTAAAAGATTGGTGTTTTGGGCTTAAGCGACCGAGCTTCCTCTCCGAAGCTCAAGTGGTCGATTGTCCTTCATAGACCCATTGTTATAAAAAGCGAACCGGATCAAAAGATGGGTTAGTAGAACCACCTAACCAGTTACAATAACGGTCTTGTTCACTGTCTAGATGAGCATTGATGGACCAAATGGTTTTTCATGGTTCAACATAAAAGCATATGAATCATTACCGGTTTATTGGTCCACTGATTCACTATTTAACCATAATTTTTTTTAAAGGTACTCTAGCATAAACTAAGACCATCAAACGAGAACTCTTCTCATTTTCCAACCTCGTTGTCGACTTTACGCGGTCCACTACCCACTGGCATCGTAATTTTTAACTTGAATAAAAAAATTATGATTTCTTTTTGGAGACAGTTTGAATGATTTTTTAGATATTTTAGTGATGATATGAATTTGAAATTGTTTATGGTTAATGATAACTTCATTCTTAAATTAGTATACTATATAAGTCTTGAATGTTATATATAATGAACGGTTCTATCCACAGTTTGTAACGGCTAACCACTAAACCTTAAACCACTAACTTTTTTCGGTTCAGCGTCCGGTCCGATTATGAAAACAAAGCCTGGACCACTTTAATGGTCGGTGCCACCTCTCTCTTGCATAGGTGGTAGGTTGGTCTCAACTGGCGAAGTGTGTGACAAACCAGTAGGTATAAAATAATGACTAAAAAACAAAGTTTGGAATCCTTACGGAAACCAAGCCGGCATGGTGGCAAGGTACTAGCTTAATGAGACTCCAAAAACAAAGTATAGAGATCAAGCCAGAAGGGTATAACCCGATGAGACAGAGGTGACAAGGTGGCCAAGTTGACATAATATCAAAGTCGAAAAGACGACTTGGTGGCAAGATGAGGCCACTAAGGTGGCAACTTGATCAACTATAAAAACCCGAGTCTGGAGACCATAATAGGGTACCATACCAACAAGACGACAAGAAACCAACTAGGGAGTCATTCAAGAACTAAGTGAAGAGACCAAGTCGATAAGAGAGACTTGGTAGAAAGGCAAGGGTGTACCAAGCTGGTAATGCATTGAGGTATCAAATTACCAAACCTTGCAAAAACTAAGTAGGGAATGGAACATGGTACCAAACAGATGAGACGGACTTGGTGGCAACCTGATAGAGTACCAAGTTGGCAAGACAATATGACCTGACAATGTGGCAGGCATCAAGCCAGAACGATTCAAGGGCTTGATGGCAAGGAGGCATGGTATCAAGCCGACAAGGCAACTAGGTACGAACTGGGAAATCATCCAAAAACTAAGTATAGAGATCAAACCGACAAAATGAGCTTGGTGGCGAGCTGGTAGAGTCCCAAGTTGGCGATAGGTTATCAAGACAACAAGACAGTCTTGATACTGAGATAACAAGTTGATACCATGACGAGCTCCCTAAAACTAAGTGTGGAGCGTTGATGGAAAAAGGGGCTAAGATTTCATCCCATCAAGGTGAGTGACAAGGTCTAGCTAATTGGGTGGCTAGTAAGACAAGGTTAATAAGCCGATGAGGCGGTCTAAGCTAACGAGGCGAGGATGGTACCAAGTTGCCAAGTTGGCATGCAAGGGGCTCTCGCATATCATCAAGGTGGTAGCGGTCCCTAGAAACAAAAGTGTGCCAGAGGTAGCTAAATAAGAAAAACAAAAATTTAAGTACGGGGGAGGGGGGGGGGGTATTGAGAGCATTAGAAGTGTAATCAAGACGTCATCATGGAGGTAAGACAAGGAGGCTTTAATACTATCCAGTCAAGACAAGGCGAAGACTTGGTGAAGTTCAAGTTCAACTCAACACCAACCTGGACTTGATGTTGATACCATCAAGCTGATACCAACTGTTGTCAAAGCGGGCAACAAGGGGTCCCTGAAGCAGTTGGAGCAACCGGCCATCTAGTGGTTATCAAGACGGTTACACCTTATGACTATAAATATGAGAAACAAAGGGTGGAAAAGGGTCAAAACCAACACTTGACACCCAATGTCAAACTTCACATTTGCTCTGCAAATTAGCCCTAGGTAGTTTCTGGACCTCTCAATAAACCTTCAAAGGAGTAGAGTAATTTAACGTAGATTTTCCAAATAAAATCATAAAAAACATCAAACACCCTCGTTCCAACATTATTTCGAGGGATGTGAAACATGTTATTATCATTGTTCAAGAAGTCAAAGCGATAACCCATTAATATCAACACAAGTTTTGTTGTCAAAAAACAAAAGTGCATCGCTTCCCCCCTACCGATTGCGTGTCAACTAGAGCACATCGCAAAGGGCTGGAATCAGCGAAATAACAGCGAGGAGGAGTTGATCATGGTCTCCCACAAACTTCACTGGAGATTGCTATTTTGCTACGCATATGATATTGTTTACCTCTTCCCTTTGTGGCCGGAGTGCCCAATTAATTTAGGAAAACAATTTCATAGTATGATTGCTCTGTTTCTAGGTTCGTATACCAGAGGGAAAAGAGGATAGAGGACACCGATTACGACAAAGCTCTAGCGGCTCGAATTCAGAAGCTTGTGAAAAATAGTGGAATGACAGTCGAAGGAATTGAGTGTGGGTTGGCAAAGAATCATTTTCTCTATCTTTAATGGAGCAAGTTGGATGATTGAAAGAGGGAGAGGGTGTTTGACTGAAATACTCTTGTGGGTTGTTCGGATGTCGTATTTGGAATCAAATACCACATTTTGTGGTATTTTCTCCCAAATAACACGCTGGAAATTAAGGGATGCATCATTTGATATATGTTATTATCCAAATATGACAAACTTGTTATTTGACAAATAGTAGGGAGTAGGGTGGTATTCTCCAAATAATAGTGTTTCCCCGAGAAAACCAAATGCCACCGCCGGTGCCGAATTCGTTTCCGGCGATGTTGATTTGATGTTTCGCGGTGGAAACTCTTGCGGCGCCGTTTGATCGAATGCACCGCTGATTGCTGAAATCGAGACGACCCTCAAATATCCGCCGCCGAATGTCGGCGCCGTTGATTTGATCGATGCACCTCTAAATGGTGAAATCAACGTGACCGTCAAATATCCACCGCCGGGCGGTGTTGATTTGATCGATGCACCTCTGACTTCTAACCAAGAATGACCGTTACTACGGTTCGCACCTCTCCAAACTACGTTCGAACGAGGGTGTTTGAGTTTTGAGGAATCTACGCTACCGCTACTCCTATGGAGATTCCTATGGAGATTCCTATGGAGAGCTCCGCGACTACGACTACAACTATGGAGATCCTTCCTGGAAGGAGAGCTCCGCGAAGGAGTTACAGAGAAAAGGTAAAGTTTTGACAGAGTTGTCCTGTGTTGATTTTTGGTTCCCCTTTCTCTCTCCTTGCTCCACTGCTTTTATTCGAAAAACCGCTTCGTAGTCTTCACGCTAGGTGGAACCGCTTCCTCAACTGCTCCGTTATGAACTCCCACGTGTCTCAACCGTCTTGATCTCCTCTTCGCTCGGGTTGGTGTGAATCTCACGCGATGTCGTTTTCTTCCCCAAACAGCTCTGTTTGCTTTTTTACTCCACGACATTGTTTTATATTAAACACTGTCGTTTGCTAATACAGCGGTACCGTTGGGCTTACTCGCGGTACCGTTTTTAATTAAACGACACCGCTAACATCGCCAAAAAATTCCAATTCATTGAACCGCCTAGAGTTTTCACTCGCATTGGCCTGGGCGGGATTTAGGCCCTTCACTTACCCGATATGATTTTTTTTCTATTTAATCGGCACCGCTTATCAAGGCCTCCCGCGACATCGTTTTTACATCCGCGGTACCGTTTTAATTCTCCGCGATGCCGCTTGTCTCCATGCGGTACCGCTTCTCCCCTTCCGACGAGGAATAAAAAAAAAATAATAATAACTCCTTTTCCAACACCAATACTACGCGCGCGGCCCCCATCCTGTTTTCTGGTAAACAGTGTCGTTTCCAGTGCCGCGGTACCGGTGAGCTTCGTTGCGGTACCGTTTTTTGTTTCGCGGTATCGTTTTAACTCACCGCGATACCGCTTGTCGCGGTGCCGTTTTTAGCCAAACGACACCGTTTCCCAGTCTCGCGATGCCGTTAAACTTTGAGGTTCGCGGTACTGTTTTATCTCTTCGCAGCATTGCTCGACTCCAAACGGTGCTGTTATTCTCCTCCTCCGACAAGGAAAAATAAAATAAAAACATTCCTTGTCCAACAGCAACACATGTCCTGCGCATGACTCACACATGGTCTGCAACCAATGTTGTTTCAAATACCGCGGTACCGCCGAGCCTCTTCGCGGTCTCGCTTAAATTCTCCGCGATATTGCTCGACTCGAAACGACATCGTTTGGCCATGCGATATCGAATTAAATGCCGAGACTCATTATTACGACATTGAATTTAGGCCAAAAATATTTTAGGTGTAAACAATGCCCCCCACAACTTTGTTTATAAGAATTTATGAACAAAGTTGTTGACATAATCCAAACAACTAAAATAATTTCCAACTTGGCATCAAATCCTCTCAATTAGCAAGTTGTTTTATGGCCAAAATGGCCAATCAAATATCAACAGAATAATGCAATGGCCATTTTGAGCATGTCCAGAGGGACAAGTTACGGTGGATACTTAGTGTTAGTAACCACCGTGGTTACTAGGGATAAGAAGGGTATTTTGCTTCCATCCTAATTCAAACTACCATTTTAATTACGCAATTAATTAGGGAGAGATAATTACGGTAACTAATTGATAGGTAGTTTAATCAGTGTAGGGCTTTCCAAAGTCCCCGATTTTTTGTCGGTCCCTATTTCTGCCGTGTACACGTTATCGAATGGGAGAATTAGCTGATTTTTTGTCGGTCCCTATTTCTGCCGTGTACACGTTATCGGAGCGGAGAAATGGCGATCGCCGACGTCGCACTATCGCCGGATATGGTAGAGGGAAGAAGGCTAGCAATGGAAGTGTTGTTCGGAGAAAGTCCTATTTCTGGTGGCGAGGAAGAGGATATGGCGATGCAAAGCGACGACGGTAATAATCTAACCCGTTCATGATTGTATGCTTTCGCTTGAACGGCAAAATATTAACATCCCTTTTGGTCGGCAAACCCTTGCAAAGGGTCAGGTATCGTTGGAGATCAAACTGTGGAAGAAGGCGGCGCTTGTGACAATTCTGACGAAGGTGAAGTTTTCCACGTTCATGTTGAGGGTGTGTTCGTTACGTACTTGTTTCGGATTGGTATTGTTTCGGAATAATGGTAGTCCTTACATTGGTATATATGGTGGGATGTTATTGGTAGTTCGTATCGCATTGGTATTTGTTTGATTGGATTGGTATTGGTTCTGCCTTTTGTATTAGCTACTACAATGGTAGTGATTTTTTGTTATATTTGCATCAAATGGTAGTGATTTGTTAGTTGTAGTATGAGTTATTGCAATGGTAGTGATTAATTGTTGTTTTACAAATTGCAGATCAGGTGTATAAAGTTGTCCCAGATGACAAATCGACATGGAAGCATTTGAGATTTGAAAATAGGGAAGCATTTGTCAAGTTCTACAAAGACTTCGCACACTGGAGGAGTTTTGGAGTAAGACGTATTGGACAACAGACTCGAAAACCCAAATATCTTAAAGGAACGGAAGGTGTTTTACTTTGGAGCACGGTGCAACAAAGAAGGGTTCAAAACAGGGAGCACGCTGGATCCAAAGAATGTCGGTGATTGGTATTAGTATTTGCTTTAATGTCATCTAAAATGGTACTGGTACCTCTACTTGCTTATTTGAGAGTGCAGTGTGTTTATAAACACCAGATTCACATGTATGCAGAAAACCAACACTGCATGAAAGGAAACTACCATTCAAAAAGGCAAAAAACTACCATTCCAGTATAACACTACCATTCCACATAAAAAAAAAGCACGGTTTCAGAGACAGGTGAAAACTACCATTCACATGGATGCAGAAAACTACCAATGCATGAAAGGAAACTACCATTCAGAAAACCAAAAAACTACCATCCCAACAGAACACTACCATTCCACTTCAAATAGCACGGTTTCACAGACAGGTGGAAACTACCATTGCATGAAATGAACTAAACATTTGGCAACCTGAATGCTACCATTCTAACAGAACATTACCATTCCACACCACACATGGAAAAGTACACATGGAAAAGTACCCAAGAGTTTGTATTGAAAACCCTTCTATAAGTTATGAACAAGAGAAATGCAGTGCGAACTAAATTCCTGATGATGTTTGTAGCTCACAGCCGAGACGTTCTGACAACTCAAATGGATGCCGGAGGAGCTAAAATGAAACGGTTCAAGGTTCTTTCACCTGCGATGGGAAACGAAACAGGTACGCCGAAGGATCAAAAATGAATGTCACCGGTGCGCCGTCGGAGTGGAACGAACAGGATTTGTATACAGCGTAGGGAGACGCCGAAAACGCTCGTTTACCCACCAACTAATAAAGAACCAGTCGCCGGGAACCCTAGCCAGAAAGGAACGACGGCGGCGACGGTCCAGAAAGGCTTCTCTCTTTACGCAGGGGAGGGAGACCACGGCGCCAGAGAGAGAACACGGCGACGGAGAGAGAATGCACCGGAGAGAGACCACGGCGCCAGGGAGAGAACACGGCGACAGAGAGAGAATGCGACACCGGGAATAGCTAAGGTCGGCCGCGAAAGAAGCTTCTGCTCTCTGCAAAAGGAAAAAGGGTTTTGGGAGCTACGTTGATAAGCAAAGACAATCAATAAAGAGGGAAGCGTGGGTCAAGGAAAATCTCGCTCTGATTTCGGGCCCAGTAAGGAAGGAGATGATCGTGTGGGTCCCTTCCGAAAACACCCTTCAGCAAAGTGGACCCTCAGATTGGATCTACATAATCTGTATGGCCAAAAATAAGGTAGCCATGGTGGCTACTTAAAAAAAAGGAACCAGGCTAACGCATTCCTGTCCAAGGCCCAGGCAGGGGATTTTCAAAACAACAAAGAATTTGTTTTTGGCCGCCGAGCATTCATGATTTAGTTGAATCTTTCTACTATTCCACTCTACCAGCAACACTACATATTTGAACGATGTCGTTTTTTCCCCCGCATCCCTCCAAACCAACGAGTCGCAGTGTTGGTTTCAGCCAAAAACTGCTGATTAGCAATTCTCCCTGCCTCTAACAAAATTGGCCCATCAATCTTGCAACGCAACGTTGCTTTGGTGAACCACTCAACATTTTTTTTTAAATCACTACTGACCAAAAGGCCATTGCAATCCCGCATGGCACAATCTATTTGAAAGACCCGTACAATCTGTTCCGGCAACAATAGTGCTTAGTACTAGTAGCCGCAAGCCCGTAATGCTGTTTTAGCGAAACGACAATGCTTGAACTTTTTTATTATCTTTAATTAAAATTTGGCCAAATTAAATGCCAACAACTTTGCTTTGTATACCTTTGGCCTGCAACGCTGCAGCGACCAAGTTTTTTTCTTCTTTATTCTTTCCTTTCGCAGGCCTGCATCGCGGCCTCGGCCACAACGGCAGTGTGATGCTTTTTCTTTTTTATTATATATTTATCATTGCCGCAAGAATATTTCTTCTCAAAACAACATCGATTTTTTCCTTCACCAGTATTGTTTTGGCGTTCTTCTTTTTTTTTTCTTTTTTTTAACAACATTGTGTATCTTTCCCTATTTTCCAACGATGTTGAGAAAACAGAACAACACCGCTTGTTATTTTGAACTATTGCCAACGATATTGTGGCTTCTTCTTAGTAATGCCGCTTGATTATTATTATTTTTTTATAATACTTTTATTTTTCTCTCTTCTTTTTTTATAGCATATTACGTGGCCTAATCTAGCCACATTATTTATATAATAATAGCTAAACAAAAACAGGGTTGGCTTTGGCATAAACCATCTTGCCAAAAGTCCACACCCACTGCCAACTCCAGAGATCAAACCAAGTAAGCCATCCGTAAAGTCCATGACCAATCAGAGTTGGCTCTACACGTATTGACTTCAATGTTTCAAAGTCAGTATTGGATTGCAACTTTTCAACGCGTCTAGCTCGAACATCTTTGTTCAAAACTCCATGATCCTGATTTGGCCTAATCTTAGCTTCGCGGAATGGAAAACCATAAGCATTCTTGGCTCTAGACAAGACATTCCCGTTTTTTGGCACCTTTGTCTTGCCAATTTGACCATGCGGCATCGCTTGCCTAGACTGGTCTAGTTTTGTCAGCTTCACCCACTCACCATGTTGTTGGTAGTGTGAGCGTCGAGACTTTTCATCAACAGGTACGTTGGTATTTTGTTTAGCACGAACATGAATTTCGCACCTATCACACAACAACGTTGCCCCTTTTAAAATTCCACGTGAGTTTGGAGTTTGTTTGGCATTGGCCTTGCCCCCCAGTACTGGCTTGGTAACTCCATACTGAGCTTGCGTGAACTTCCCCCCCCTTTTCACTAGGTGGAGTCTTTGGGGACAACTTACATGGAGGATTCTGTTAATTCATACCAACCCTTGCGGGATTGGTCTTTTCCACGTGGTCACCACCTCCATCTTGAATAGTGTCTGTGGTGACCCTAGTTCGATTTTTCTTAGAACAGGGTGGATTTGGCAAACTTGTTTACCAATTGCAATGTTGTTTTTCTTTCAACCGGCCATGCGGTGGGATCTCATGCCCCCCTAGCGGCTTAGATTGAACATCATTGCGATGTTGCTTGGACAAACCCTCATACACGAGATTACTATGCTCAACGTGATTGTAACCAGGTTGTCCACCCTGATTCTTATTTTCATTCTTATTAGAAATACGTTGATACTGACCACTTTGTAGTGGCCTCTGCAAGCCACCTCCAACTTGTGTGTCCTTAAGAACAATGTTGTTCACTGGAAAAGACACATTGGGATTCCTTGTTTCTGGCAACAGTGTCGTAGCCAGGCTCATCGATGGCATTTGGTTGACCATGGCTAGTCGATCAATCATTAAATCATCGCACGCAACAGACATGGTTTCAGATTTAAACACATCAAAATCATATGTTGCTCTATGTATTGACATACTAAAATCAGAAACACAGTCACCAAACTTATCAAACCATCGATCTATGTTGTTTTCAAACTTATCCATTTTCTTTTCAAGATTATCAAATTGGAGATTTACCTCTTGGTGAAACTCCTTCATGGCTTGGCGAAACTCCTCCATGGATTGACGTAGATACAGGATTTCAGCATGTAGTAGCTCCTCCATCCCTTGAGTACGTCTATCTGCCTCGTTCGCCTGACCAACTTCAATTTTCGCGACGCGGAGCCTTATTCACATCAAACACACGTGTCCCACCGGGCGTGCCAAATTGTTTCCCCGAGAAAAACAAATGCCACCGCCAGTGCCGAATTCGTTTCCGGCGATGTTGATTTGATGTTTCGCGGTGGAAACTCTTGCGGTGCAGTTTGATTGAATGCACCGCTGATTGCTGAAATCGAGCCGATCCTCAAATATCCACCGCCGAATGTCGGCGCCGTTGATTTGATCGATGCACCTCTAAATGGTGAAATCAACGTGACCGTCAAATATCCACCGCCGGGCGGTGTTGATTTGATCGATGCACCTCTACTTCTAACCAAGAACGACCGTTACTACGGTTCGCACCTCTCCAAACTACGTTCGAACGAGGGTGTTTGAGTTTTGAGGAATCTACGCTACCGCTACTCCTATGGAGATTCCTGTGGAGAGCTCCGCGACTACGACTACAACTATGGAGATCCTTCCTCGAAGGAGAGCTCCGTGAAGGAGTTACAGAGAAAAGGTAAAGTTTTGACAGAGTTGTTCTGTGTTGATTTTTGGTTCCCCTTTTTCTCTCCTTGCTCCACTGCTTTTATTCGAAAAACCGGTTCGAAGTCTTCACGCTAGGTGGAACCGCTTCCTCAACTGCTCCGTTGTGAACTCCCATGTGTCTCAACCGTCTTGATCTCCTCTTCGCTTGGGTTGGTGTGAATCTCACGCGATGTCGTTTTCTTCCCCAAACAGCTATGTTTGCTTTTTTACTCCACGACATTGTTTTATATTAAACACTGTTGACTCACTTCTACTGTCACTCTAGGAATTGGCCAAGTGTAACCACTTCCTAAAGCGTAGTATAGCGGGTTTGGGTTTTAATGTCAACCCGGGTCCTAGATTTGATGACTACTCGGTGAATTCTTGTTATCTAGCAATGAAACTTTAATGCAGGTCTAAACTAACAAACAAGCAAAGCAACTAAACGGTTGTTTTCAGGTTAAGAGAGGTCACCCGAATATGGTTCCCCCTAGACTGCAGTTAAGTCGGATTGCAATTACCAAGTTCAGTTTCTATGATAGTTATACTGCGGAAGGTTCTTAAACAGTCTGAAGTCTCGACTAAAGGTCTCCAGACCCTCTCAATCTGAGTCTCTAGCGGGCGACTAACCTCCACCGGAGTAAACAGATTGAGGCCCTAACGAACAAAACCTCCACTACCGAAGTGAATTCGGTACAAAATAGTGAGTTGGCTCCTCGACTAAAGTCACCAACTCCCTACCTTCAATCAAGGATGCTCTATCAACCTAGGCAGATATTCTCATTCTAGGTTAAAGCAGAAACAACAGGAATTTGATCAGGATTCATGCCATTCAATCATTCAAACCTCAATTGAATAAAATCAAATCATAGAATCAGTACTTGGGTTCATACAATCAAACCTAACATACAAATCTAGGCTTTCCCATACCCAGATGAATGGGAGAACTACTCCATGGAGAAAGAAGCAAAAGCAGAATCAGACGCGGAAATCATACTGTGAAGGATGGATTTCTGCTCCTGGACATTGATCGGCACTTCTCCAAGCTCAAGCCAAGCTCCAATGGTGATGAAGATCAAGCTAGGGCACTTGGAGACTCTTGTTCATCGCTTTCTCTCTCTAGGAATCGCTCTGTCTCTCTAAAACTCGAATCCCCCTTCTGTTTTGGCTGAAATCTGCCTAAAAGGGCATCACTGGGCAAAACACGGTCGAGGGCACGGCCGTGCTTTGCTCCAGCCCGCCCGTGCTTTGCCCCGTGTTAAAACACGCCCGCGGTTTGGGCACGGCCGTGTTTTGATTTAGGCGCGCCCGTGTTTTTACTGCCGAACCTGTTCCCCTATATTCAATGCTTCGTTTCTCCCTCGTCCGGACTCCGAATCAGTCGCCGTTTGATCCCAGACGCTCGTAGTCTCGTCCTCTTTCTTTTCATGACAAGCTTGCATGATTATTTTTCCATAAATTGAGGTAGAAATCCATTCTTCTTCATGTCATGCCCGAGTTTCTTCTCTCGAATCGCAAATTGATCTCTGATTGACTTGAAACTTGCGCCTATGCTTCACTTTATGTGCTAGGACCTGAAATGTGACAAAGGAACACAAACTAGCGTAAAATAGGCCAAAGACGCGATAATTAAATCTCAAACGATCAAGAAACAAAGGGGAAAACATGTGCAAATATCGAGTCATCAACTGTCGTTTGCTAATACAGCGGTACCGTTGGGCTTACTCGCGGTACCGTTTTTAATTAAACGACACCGCTAACATCGCCAAAAAATTCCAATTCATTGAACCGGCGAGAGTTTTCACTCGCATTGGGCTGGGCGGGATTTAGGCCCTTCACTTACCCGATATGATTTTTTTTTCTATTTAATCAGCACCGCTTCTCAAGGCCTCCCGCGGCATCGTTTTTACATCCGCGGTACCGTTTTAATTCTCTGCGATGCCGCTTGTCTCCATGCGGTACCGCTTCTCCCCTTCCGACGAGGAATAATAATAATAATAATAACTCCTTTTCCAACACCAATACTACGCGCGCGGCCCCCATCCTGTTTTCTGGTAAACAGTGTCGTTTCCAGTGCCGCGGTACCGGTGAGCTTCCTTGCGGTACCGTTTTTTGTTTCGCGGTATCGTTTTAACTCACCGCGATACCGCTTGTCGTGGTGCCGTTTTTAGCCAAACGACACCGTTTCCCAGTCTCGCGATGCCGTTGAACTTTGAGGTTCGCGGTACTGTTTTATCTCTTCACAGCATGCTCGACTCCAAACGGTGTTGTTATTCTCCTCTTCCGACAAGGAAAAATAAAATAAAAACATTCCTTGTCCAACAGAAACACATGTCTTGCGCATGACTCACACATGGTCTGGAACCAATGTTGTTTCAAATACCGCGGTACCGCCGAGCCTCTTCGCGGTCTCGCTTAAATTCTCCGCGATATTGGTCGACTCCAAACGACATCATTTTGGCCATGCGATATCGAATTAAATGCCGAGACTCATTATTACGGCATTGAATTTAGGCCAAAAATATTTTAGGTGTAAACAAATAGGTTATCGTATTTTCGGTTCCAATTATGTCTTCTTTCCTTTTTTGTAAATCTCAAACTATCATATCCTTTTCCGGCCCACATTTTGTCTCTTATTTCCCAATTATCCTCATAACCATTATTTGGTTACTAGTCTTAGGTTAATTATGTCTAACACTAACAAAAACTCAATATGTGTTGACACACTATTCTATTAAAATGACGTATAAAACTCCATACATGTTAATACCGTTTGAACTTTTAAATTTTGTATTGTGTAACTTATGCGCATTTTTTAAACACACTATTATATTTAAACGACGTATAAAAATATGTACATATTAATATTATAACATGTGCATGTGACCAACCATGTACACATGTTGACCAAGCGAGCAAGAGATGTGGGTTAAGAAAGATAAATTTGTAAATTAATAAATTTGAGTGTAACACCAGACTTTATAATAAATCATCAAAACATGATATTCAGTACAAATACCACATAGCAAATGACATGTATTGTGACATGTGGGATTTGTGTGTAATTTGCATCGAATAACAGGTTTGATAAACACCACATTCAAACTATATTTAACATGGTTCTAACATATAGTGTGTCAGCAACTGTTAGAAACAAGGTTTCCAACAGGTTCGGGATTGGAGAATTTAGCTAGATCAATTAGGGATTGATCTAACTAGGGATTGAGAATTGGGGATTTAGAACAAAGAAGAGGGGAGCGAAGGTTTGCTGCTGCCGCAGCTTTTGGAAGAGGAGAGGGAGAGGGAAACGCAGGAGAGAGAGAGAGGGATAAAGATTAGGTTTTAGGATTTTGTTCTGTAATTGCTTAATCAAAAATAAGACCACTTCTACAGATTATATAGTCTGCATAATTCCTATCTGCTACCCAAATAATAAAACATAACAATTGAATCTCTGTTTATTCCCCAAATACCCCAAATAATCCCCCAATTACTAAAAACCGACAATAATACGAAATGAACAAAAACTGCAAATAATGTGTTTCCCAAATCCTCGCCTTCTTTAGAAACAACCTAGTCCTCAAGGTCACGTGTCCTACTCCATCTCTGGCGGCCCTTCTTCGGCTTCTTCCTCCTCTGCTTCATCCTCCCAACGCCCCACCAGCATCATCAATTCGGGCTTGGTGCACTTATGTCCCACGGTGAACCTTTCGTCGCAGTTGAAACACTTGCCCTCCCTTCTCTTCTGCTCGATCTCCTGTGGCGAGAGCCTCACGAACCCTTTTGGGGGTGGCCTAGGTGCTTGCCAACTCGAGATGACTGCGCCAGCTGGCGACAAACCGGTGCCAGTGGCCGCACTCGCCCCTCCTCCGCCTGGTCCAACGCCACCTCCTCCACTCCCACTTGCCTTTGGGAACCGCCCGATCGTGCTCCTCCAGCTGGCCAGCTCCTCCTCCTTATAACCTGCAAGATGAAAAGCAGACCGCAGCGAGTCGGGCTCCAATACCTTAACCGCCGCGGCTATCTCTGGCTTTAGGCCAGCCATGCACAACCCAACCAGGGTCTCCTCCGGCACTCCCTTGCATTGATTGCCCAGGTTGAAAAACTCCGCCTTGTACTCCGCTACTGTCCCAGTCTGGCGAAGCTTAGCCAGTTGCTCTGGTGCCCACCCTTCTGATTTGCCAAACTGATACCGCAGCTCTTCCTTGAACAAGGGCCAGGTGATCAAGGTCTACGCAGCTGCGCATGATCGCTCCAGCCACTCCCACCACTGTAACGCGTCCCCCTCTAGGTAGAAGGACGCCACATGCGCATTCCTTTCTTCCTTGGTGGGATGATTCTTGAACCACCTGTCAGCTGCATACAACCATAGACTTGCATCCTCCTGACCATTGAATTTTGGAAACTCAATGGTAGGGGGTTTTGCCCTAAACACCAGATCGCCATCAAAGCCTCGAGGATAGCTGTCATACCTGTCGTACCCCGGAGCTCGATCATGATAGCCCCGCGGTTCTGGCGGCCCTCTGCTTTGGCCCCACTCCTCATCCTCCTTGAACAGGTACTCCGCATACTCGTCCAGACCCGATTTCCGTGCCTGACTAGAATCCCACTGCTCTGCCAGTGAACAAAAGCCTCGAGGATAGCTGTCATACCTGTCGTACCCCGGAGCTCGATCATGATAGCCCCGCGGTCCTGGCGGCCCTCTGCTTCGGCCCCACTCCTCATCCTCCTTGAACAGGTACTCCGCATACTCGTCCAGACCCGATTTCCGTGCCTGACTAGAATCCCACTGCTCTGCCAGTGAACAAGGACCCTGAATTGGCGGATAAGATGGTCCCGAACCCCTGCCGAGATCCCTCCTGATGCCATACTCCCGGTTGCCTGATCCGTCCAAGAACTAGTCCGACCAGTTCAACCCGGTGGGTCGACCCGGTTCGACCCCGCTCGGTCTAACCCACTCCGGTCAACCCGACCCTGTTCGGCCCAGCCCGGTCAGCCCTCTTCGGCCAAACCCACACCCAGGCGGTCGGTCCGACCCCCTGGCCGCGCCCCTCCCTATCGGCCCTCTTCCAGGTTCGGCCCAATTCCGGGCCCTCTAATGCGCGCCCAGCTCCTCTTCCTCGTCCAAACTCAGCCACCCCAGCCCATTGGGTTCCCTGCCTTGGCCCATGTATTCGTGTGGGCCGAAATTCAGCTGGGGGCCCACATCGTCATACCCAGGCATCTTCACCTTGCCCTTCATGGCCGCGATTTCTTGGGCCGACGGGGTCGGCAACAGGCCCGACCCACGACCCCGCCCATGCGCCGCCGCCACCCCACGATCAGCTCGTGGCAGCTCTGTGTCCGCCTCCCTACCTCCCTCGGCCACCGCGGACGCCGTGTCTACCGGCGCCGCCACCGCCTTCGCCGCGAGCGACCCGTCGCGTCGCCTCCCCCGGCCACCGCGACCGCCGCGCCAGCTTGCGCTGCCGCTGCCTTCGCCGCGGGTGTCCCGCCGACCGCCGCCTCCACCCCAATTGGGAGCGTTCCCGCGGTGGTGGCTCCTCCACCCCCCGTCGACCGCCAGCTCGGCCGGGCTCAGCGTTCCCCCGACTCCGTTCCCCCTCGCCTGCAGCGAGGCAACCGCTCGCATCAGGTCCTCCAGCCTCTGACGAAGATCATCAGCATCCGCCTTCGCGTCAGCCTGCACTCTCGCCAGGCCTTCTTCGAGCCGAGCAGTGCATCAGAGTGCTCGTGCCCCACCACCTTCACCGCCTCAAGTTCAGTTTCGTCCTCCACCACCCCGTCGAGCCCTACGTCGCCCGCCTCGGTGTTTTTCTCAGCTGCCTGAGCCGCCTTCTCTGTCGTCTTCATCGACTTTGTCAATACCATCGTTGCCTTCCATGGGTCAAGTGCTCAAAAGAACTCACCCTCGAGCCAGGCTCTAATACCAGATGTTAGAAACAAGGTTACTAACAGGTTCGGGATTGGGGAATTTAGCTAGATCAATTAGGGATTGATCTAACTAGGGATAGAGAATTGGGGATTTAGAACGAAGAAGAGGGGAGGATACAAAGATACCAGCTTTTATGAAAGAACCCCTCGAGAACAAGATTCATATATCACTGGCTACAAACTAATCCTCAATAGATAGAATGGTAAGCCGGATAATGTTATTTCACAAAAGAAGAAATGACGGAGAAAAAGCAGGTAAAGGTCAGACAAATGGTTTGCCATTCTGGGTTCTTTGTATAGGTCGATAACAAACTCCTGTCCCTGGGTGCTATTTCTTGCGGGCAAGGTAAATGCCAGATATAATAGCCGCGCCAACACCTAGGGAGGCAACGATCTTCAATACTGAAACTGTTGGTTTAGGGTTTGGAATTTTCAGAAGATCTTCCATCTGCAACCAGATTGAGAGGCATCCATCAGGAAGGACTGGTAGATTGCTTTTACAAATTAATGTCCGATCATTGAGCCAACTTCATTGAACAAATAAAATTGTTGCTAGAATGTTCAGATGTGCGCTAGATCTTGTTTGCTTTGATGTAACCCTAATAGTGAAGGGACTTCAGCTCACATGCGAGTAAGAAAGATGAACCGTTTACTCACCGACACGGGTTGCTGCCAATTCTTCTTAATTCCTTGAATATGTCCTCTTCCAATAACTGCAACCACTGATGAATGCTCACAGGCATATCTATGTAGCATCATTGCCATATACCTATAGGTGAATTGAAAAGAATAAGAATTCATTGTAAGCAGAAACCATCTGACAAAAGCAACCAAATGAGCAAAGGATAGGGCAATGATCCCAGATTCATAATAATGGATGTCTAAGCAGAGAGCCATCAATATAAAGGAAAAGAAAGCAGTAATAAAACTTGTAAGTATTAGCTGGATGCTAGTGCACCACAAGCAAGAAATTGATCCTGAAATTGTGGCTACACAAGTTCTTGGGGAGATCCTTACGACTCCACTTTTGGAATAAAAAAGAAAAAAGAGGAAGAACAAACAAAATACTAACTGATCTCGCTCATGTACTAGGGTTTCCATAAGAGTAGGGTACTGCTTGCTCATTTCTTGAATCACAAGAGTCACCATGTCGACATCATCCAACTCCTCGAGCTGGAAAATCAACAAACAAAATCATATTAGTTGCCTCTGCGAGGAAACTTCTTAAGCTTAAATCGACTTTTTCGACTAATTTACCACCACTTCTCAGGATAAGCTGAGAAAGGAAAACATACCATTTTCTTAAGGTCCTGCGGACTTGCTAAGAAGACAGCATGAAAGATTAATGAGTACACCAGTTTTGCCTTGTGCCATAGTGGCATTTTTAACCATGTTCTTCGCAACGTTACCTGTTCAATTTGGCAGGTCAGATTGACAATATTCATGCAAACTGACTATACAGCAATCAAAAGGAGTCCGGTATCTTAAACCAAATTAAATAATACCCCAAGGAATACATTATCCTAAAGAAATCACAAGCAATCCACCCACAATGAGGAATTGAAGAGGAAAGGCATAAAAAGCCAAAAATAGGACCTTGATTTCCATAGGCTCTCAACATGAAGTAATGCAATCCATTTTCTAAGTTCCAGTATCCAACATATCAAAGGCACCTCACCTGTACAGGTCGATCACCAAGTATCACAATAGCACCATACTTTTTTGCTTCTTCATATGCCACACGGAACTCAGAACCGGGAAATACCTCAAGCTTGCTAGCAACCTGAGAATGTATCAATAATAAATTGGCGAAACTGAATGCTTAGAACTACAACTTGAATTCACAGGGTGACGAGTATAAACTTTAAGTAGCGTATCTTGCCTTGGCAAGGAACCAGCTATATAGTATCCCAAACAAGTTGTGTTTCTTTTTCCACATCTCTATCATTTCTCCTGTAGTCGGCACCTGCTAAAACTTATAGCATAACAGCAAATGGAGACCACAAGAGTAAAAACGCACAAAAACAATTAGTGAGAGTCAAAGTGATGGAACAACAAATCACAGTAAGGAACTAGCCGCATCTCAAGTTACAGATACACTAAACAAGACATATGATTAAGCATGTCCAAGAAGCTCACCAAAAGTTCGCTTGAGGCCAGGAAGCTTAAACAACTCCTCAACCCATAAATACACTCAAAACATGGGAAGGGTTTCAATCAAGAACAGAACACATAGAACCAGAAGAAAGAAAGGGAAAACAGAAACAAATACAAGCAGATCAAAGGGGTAGTTGCAGCACCTTTAAATTCTGAGGTGCCAGCATGCTAACTCGACTAGCGCACAATTCCAGAAAGACTACCTGTAGCAAACAGATACAAGCTTAATAGTAGTTTTTTCAGTCAAACAATAGATGGAAGAAAGCGGTTCACCAGCCACCCAGTCAAATCAAGAGGTAGTCTCAAAAGGGAAATACCTCTGGTTTCAAGTGGCGGATTACAACTTCAACTTCTCTGCATGATTCCTGCAATGACAAGTACATCATACATCTTATCAGTGTCCATTGTCTCAACAAGAAACATCAAAAGGAGCAGTGAAACTGGCTCCTTTACTCGCTTGTAATGCTGAGTTCCACCAACAACCTCAACCTGTCAACCATCGCTTGAACAAGAATGAAATTACAACATTCCAGACAAATGAGACTAAATGTCTTAAATCCAGAAGAGTTATAAAAGAGATCAAGTCACAATCTCTCAGTTCACAAACTTTTTACAAGAAATCATCTTTCTGTCAGCTACAAAACGCATTCCAATCCAAATGAATGACAACTTTCATACTCGAAACTGTAATCAGTAATTCAAGTCACAAAATCTTTCGCTGATCTAGTTTTTCATTCTCAACGAAACAGAATTTCGAAATTCAAGAAAGCAATCACCTCTGAAACATGAGCTGTGCCGACCAAGTAGACATCGCAGGACCCAGTTTCAGCCTTGGACTCACAAGTCAGCACCACAACTCTCGAGAGCTCCTCGGGGGCTTCCGTCATCTCAGCAGGCTCAGCCTCACCGGCGGCAGTCCCCGACGACGCCACCACCGAGTGTCCCTCGTCCCTCAGCTCATCAGCAACATTAACGATGCTATCGCTCAGTGCCCCGCTGCTAGGATCAGGGTTATCGACGTGGACGAAGTCCTCTCCGGCACGTTGCGGCGCCTCCGATGATTCCGGCGGGGTCGGGTCCATCTTTGCCAAGGGGTTGGAAAATTTCCGGGTCGGGTGGCGAAGGTCTGAGGGAGAATTCGGCGCTGCGATCGGACGGCGCGTTGGGAAATGTGTGAATTGTGGGCGCGGCGGCGGTGGTGACGGCGGAGAAGCGGGATGAGTCGAGCGACTTAAACGGGCTAACTTGGCGAGCTAAGCGATTCACAAACGGCGTCGCGGTTGCCTTTATTTATCAATCCTTGCTTTGAGAAACATGGTATTGAAGGTCCAAATGGAGAGAAAATGGCGTATCGGAAGCGACGTGGGCGTTACATCCAGAATTAAAGCTTTGCTTTTTTTTTTGTTTTTTATACGAGAACAGTTATATTGTTGTTATTTGTTAAGATATTAAAAAGAAGGTTTTCAAACCACTATTTGTTAGTGTCTCATTAATAGGAGTTTTTTTATAATTAAAAATTGTTAACATTTCAATAACATTTAGGGTATGCCTACTATGACATGCACTTTTCGGTCGACCTATTCCTGAAGGCGGTCGACCGAATTGACTAATTTGGGCAGCACGAGAAAGCATTGCGGTCGACCTCAACGACCACTTGGTCGACCGCACTTAGCTTAAGTTGTTAATTTTGGTCAACCAGAATAAAACCTCGGTCGGCCATTTCGTTGGCGTTAGAAACAACATGGTCGACCACCTAAGGTATATAGGTCTACCACTTGATGGCAGTCATTAACAAAATGGTCGACCGGATAAGGAAAGAGGTCGACCAGATAGAAGATAAGTGTTCTATCAAAGTGTCCAATCATTTGACGTAAAACGAAGATCAAATGTTGGTTTCGCGGTCGACCTAATCCGGTACGAGGTCGACCGAATACAAGAAAGTCAACCTATGCCCCGTGTCTTTTTTGCTTATGTATGTCGATTTGTGTGGTTCTTTTGATCGTATAAATTATGTTTCAAACCATCATAAATAGTCATAAATAATGATAACAAGGACTCATCAATTCATAGCATAACAACTAAACAAACTAACAAGAAATACAATAAAATAGAAATCATAATTGTTCACACATAAAAATAAAACTAAAAAACAACAGAATAACAATCAACAATCGTTTTGACCACTTAACAATAAAAACACACAATCTAAAATCTCCCCCCTCTCCCTCATCCACATTTTCTTCATTGGTTGTGCTAGCATGATGGTGGTTGGATGTGGTGGGATGCATGTATCTTCCGCTGAAAGATCGCCACTCATCTCGCATCTCATTCACGGTCACCTGCATTGTGCTCATCTGGGCGGTCATTTGCCCCATGTAGTCGTACATGCCAGTCATCTGGGTGGACATCTGGCCCATGTACTCGTACATGCCATCCATGCGCTCCCACACACGCTCTAAGGTGATCGGTGGAGTTGAACTCTGTGCCTCCGCCATTGGCTCGTCTCGAGCTCCTTCATCACCATCATCATCACCACCATGAGCATTGTTTATTCTGACATACTCACCATTACGCAGCTCAAAGCCCATCTTTTTCAGAGATGAAACAGTATAGAACTCCTGCCTTGAGATTCTTAACCTCACCTCTTCACTTAAATTCACATTAAAATGCTCAAATAGCACAGTGAGGATCATCCCATAGGGAAGATTCATGTTTGAACTCTCTGCAACAGTAAGCATGTGGTTAAAGATCAAGTATGGCAAGTTCACCTTCTCGTTTAACAGTAGGTTGGTGAGGAGCTCCATGTCGAAGTAGGTGACTGTCTCCCGATGTCCACCCTTTGGCAGGATGTTGTAGGAAAGCATGTGGTGAAGAACTCTGGCTTGAACTGTCAAGTGGTTACTCGTTGGCCTATTGCGAACCTGAGCATCCTCCTCTTCATCAAGACCACATACCGTCTGGATTTGCTTGGCTCTCGTGAAATGCATTTCATTCCAAGCACCGTAAGAATGGATTCTCTTCCCCTCATTTGGAGCCTCTAGTACTTGCGCCAACACAATCTTGCTGATGCGCATCGCCACCCCATTCACATAGGATTTGAATGCGTGAATGGAGCCATTTGCATTGCACTCGTAGACGATGTTGTTGTAGAAGTACTGTACCAGTTTTGGGTAGTATGGTACATTGAGAGATATCACCTTCAGCCACTCTTGCTCGATGAAGGGTCCCACAAACCCGTAATTCTCGAAATGAGAATACGCATCCGTCGTCAATGGCCTTCCCGGAGCCACCCTGCGGTTGTGCATTCTCTTCTCTTCATAGTTCTCACTTTGCTCCTTGGTCTGGAACAGATTGGGATTGAACTTTTCCCATTCCGAACTTGAGGCAGCAGCTTTTTGTGCCTTTCTTTTCTTTTTGCCGCCAAACATCCTGCGATCAAACAAGCAAGAATACACGTTAGTCACATTTTCGAAATGAACAAAACTCTATCGACCACTCCATAAAGCGGTCGACCTCAGTTAATTTAAAACGAGAATGGGTCGACCTCAGAAGAAGCATAGGTCGACCTCAGTTAATTTAAAACGAGAATGGGTCGACCTCAGAAGAAGCATAGGTCGACCTCAGTTAATTTAAAACGAGAATGGGTCGACATAAACCCGTAACAATTCAAGTACAAAATTGCTTTCATAGGTCGACCTCAGAAGAAGCATAGGTCGACCTCGGAAAATATAAATCGATTGAAAACCAGTTGTGACTTTCAGTAGGAGTGCAGTGCAGGACATTAGACCACCTTGGAATGCACTACACAAACGTCTGCTGCCTTCACCGAGTTCTCCTTTGCAACCCTATGCCGGTCACCGGCAAGCAAACAACAACAATATAGTCGCCCCGCATGTCCCGTTCTTATGGATGCAAGAGAGTTTAGGTTTTAGGGTCTTTTTTGTTATATTGTTGTTGTTTGCTTGCCGGTGACCGGTATAGGGTTGCAAAGGAGAACTCGGTGAAGGCAGCAGACGTTTGTGTCTTCGAGTGCATTACAAGGTGGCCTAATGTCCTGCACTGCACTCCCCATGAACATCTGGCTTTCAATCGATATAAATGGCCCGAGGTCGACCTCTATATCATCACAGGTCGACCTCAACAAGTTTAGCACAAATAACTCGAATTTTTGCCTTCATCGGTCGACCTCAGAAGCATCATAGGTCGACCTCGGCTAATTTGAAACGAGTCTGATATGACCCAAATGCTTTTGCTATTGAGTGTAAAACAGATCCGGTCGACCTCATAATCAAAAGAGGTCGACCAGAGTTAGTTTCGCACAAATAATTCAAAGACAATGGCACAACTCGAACTTTTACCTTCATAGGTCGACCTCAAAAGCAACATAGGTCGACCTCGGCTAATTTGAAACGAGTCTAAAATGGCCCAAATGCTTTTGCTATTGAGTGTAAAACAGATCCGGTCGACCTCATAATCAAAAAGGTCGACCAGAAAGAGTTTCGCACAAATAATTCAAAGACAATGGCACAACTCGAACTTTTGCCTTCATAGGTCGACCTCAGAAGCATCATAGGTCGACCTCAGCTAGATTGAAACGAGTCTGAAATGGCCCAAATACTTTTGCTATTTAGTGTAAAACAGATCTGGTCGACCTCATAATTAGAAGAGGTCGACCAGAGTTAGTTTCGCACAAATAATTCATAGACAATGGCACAACTCGAACTTTTGCCTTCATAGGTCGACCTCAGAAGCATCATAGGTCGACCTCGGCTAAATTGAAACGAGTCTGAAATGGCCCAAATAATCGTAGCAAAACGTCACAGGTCGACCTTAATATCATCACAGGTCGACCTCAGTCTATACAACAAAAGAAAAAAATCGATTGAAAGCCAGATGCGGTCGACCACGATTATGAAAAGGTCGACCGCATCTGGCGAATAGAAGGATAAATCCCTCTTTTCAAGCTATATAAAACAGGAATAAATCGATTGAAAGCCAGTTGGGGTCGACCACGATGATGAACAGGTCGACCGCATCTGACGAACAGAAGGGAAAATCCCTCTTTTCAAGCTATATATCTAAATAAAAACCCATAAAATCGTAGCAAAACTTCACAGGTCGACCTCAATATCATCATAGGTCGACCTCAGTCCATAAAACAGAAAAAAAATCGATTGAAAGCTAGTTGCGGTCGACCATGATGATGAACAGGTCGACCGCATCTGGCGAACAGAAGGGAAAATCTCTCTTTTCAAGCTATAGATCTAAATAAAAACCCATAAAATCGAAGCAAAACTTCACAGGTCGACCTCAATATCATCATAGGTCGACCCCAAAAAATGGTAATCTGCTCTAGATGTGGAGTCCGACCAGAAGAGGTTGCCTAATTCACCTTCATCGTTGGTTGTGTACTTGAAGAAGCTGCCCGCATCAGAGGTATGTTTACTCTGCAAGTAACTCAATGTTCGGTTAACATCTCCTATTAGATCGTCGTCAACTGTTCGGGATTGCTGAACAGCATTGTCCAAATCCTTTGGAGTGTACCCCAGATTCTCATATCCTCCAACTTTATTCTTCATGAACTGAACAATGTTGCGTTGTTTTATTCCTGACTGTCGCATCCCTATCGCCAGTGCCTTGTCTCCTTCACTCACATTTCGATGAGACCGAAGGAATTGAGTTTCTTCTTCATTGCAGCAACGATGTGAGTGCTTCCTCTCAAACTTAGAAACAACCCACATTTTCTTATTCCGATCAAAGCGTACAGTATACGATGCCTTGCAAGAATGTATTGTCATCTTACGATGTTGTCGAGTCCGACCTTCTTTATTTTTATGCATCTTCTCTCTAGTCCCCTCTCTCGAACATACCATTGTCCTCCCAATTTCTACTCCTCGACGACTCCTCCGAAGATCTCTACGTCGAACGCTAAATCCTTTCGCTTTAGCATAGGAATCGTAAAATTTCTCTGCATCTTCTAATGTTTGGAACTCCATGGAAGGAATTTGTTGTTCATATTCAGTAGCTTCATCATCATCCATAAATTCTTCTTCATCACCCTCGGTTTCATTATCATCCCCAA